GCATTCTGGCCAGAAAACGGAAGAAAGAAGTGTCAGTAAATATCCAAAACATAAAAAAACTGTTTAATTGGCATAAAGGAATCGTACATTTCTTACAAAAATATGAAACATGAGCAGTGGAGGTGCCCAACATGTCTCCATGTCTCCATGTTACATTCACGAAAAGATGTACTTGAAAAATGACTTTATTCTTGTAGAAATTCGTTGCATAAATTTAATTACATATCAGATTATAACTAACCCGAATGCAGATATAATGAAGCTCTCTTCAGAATTTTCCCCCCAAAAAATAAAAACTTATTTACTTGATCCTTTCAAAACTAAGTTAGTTCCACTTGGGAAGATTTCCTCTTTAAGAAGCCTTTTGAGAATAAAAATATTGTGATAAGTTCGTAAATTGTATAATTCCTTAAAAAAGCAATCTGATTGGATTTAAAAACAAAAAGTACACCTATTTTCTACTGTAAAAACTGTAAAAAACGAAAGAATTGAACAGTATAATAAATTGTTGAACAAATAAGTGTCCATTCAGAAGATGAAACAAAATTTGATATGCAAAATCAACGATGACAAAACAGTGTTTTATCAAAAATACCGGCTGAACAAGACAACGGCGCTGTAACTACTTCCACAAGACAACGGCGCTGTAACTACGAAGAAATAGTCATTAGATTTCCTTTAAGGACTTAAAGCAGAGAAATATGAGAAACCGCCACACCCATACGAGCACCATCCAGGAAAGAAAAATAACATCACGTTAAGCATGGAAAAAAAAAAAAAAAAAAAAAAAAAAAAAAGAAAGAAATTTAAAGACATTTCCGGCCTAGAAAAAGGCAAAGGCAGCGCAATCAAAATTTAGCTAGACTTCAACTGGATAGTTTAACTAAATTTCGCCTATATCAATACAACAGTGTATTTCAAGCGGAATCAGTAGCGCTTCTGGAAGCAATAAAATACAGCATCATAAGCTTCCTAAAAAATATATATCTTCATAGAGTCTTTCAGCGATCCATGCTATATCGAACCTGCACCACAGATCAAAATTAATCCAAGAGATTACAGAAAGAACTACAATGTCCCAAAATCAACACGCCTTAAATGCACAAAACTTATCAGTGCCATGGACTGGCTCACAGGTCAGAAAACTCATAACCAACGAATCTAAGGTTGAACTGCAGAACTGGTGGGACAACGCTAAACAAGTGAGAAGGACCTTTCAGCTGTTCTCAAAAGTAGGTATTGTACTTAGTTCAATAACAAGGGCAATAACGTTGTTCATATCGGGGCATAGCTCTTTCCGACGTGCTTTTATGCAAGGAACTTAGCTACATCAGATCAGTGTGTACGTGTAGAAAGAGGCAGCCCTGAATACTACATATTTAAATGCTCCCTCACAGTTGAACAACATCTAAAACTTCAGAACTCCGAAAGGAAAATAAATCCTTTTACAAGATCTACCATTAAGAACAAATATCGCAAAAAGGAAATCATAAATATAATGAGCTTCCTATCCACAAGAGAGACAGAGCTTTGTAACACAGCAACGCTTGGCTGGTCCCCTTGTGGGCCCTGTGAAGGGCAGTTATCTCTTATAATTAGTGCGGCTAGACAATACTTATATAGCCTATCGTTAAACAATAGATGTCCACTACACTTCACCATATCCATATCTATATGCACGTAGAATAAAATTATTTCCTTTTATATACAATTAATTTTTAAAAAGATATCAGTTTTGTAAATAATCGAATCGCAGCTTCTGATTACAAAAAACAACTTTCAATTAATTTTGGCAGAATAATGCAGTTTGAAAATATCATCTGTCTTGATACCTGTGTTTTAATTTTTCACTGCAGTCTAGCCCTGTTTCTTGAGTTACGATAATTACGAGAAACATTTGAAATATTTTCATTCAAATGAGCACACTTTATGTATAATAAAATCTGTACTTTAGCACATTACAGAGTAACGTCAGTGCTGGACTCGTATACTAACGGAAACCCATAGGCACTCCAGCTGTTACGTACTTAGATAACTGAAATTTTGAAGACGTACAAAAAACCAGAACTATCTGTTCTATATGAGTGATCAAATGCGTCATCATAATGTTTGCTGTAATGAAATAGAATAGTACATCACGAATTCACACTAATTACTTTCATTTCATCTGTAGATTATGTTATTTCTTTTGTAATTTAAAACTGTTTCGAAAGATTGCAAAGACTTATTTAGTTTTAAACTAATCAGTTTTTTTTTCAGTTACGTATCTTTTCTATATTCCCTCATTTCCATTTCCTGCCAGAATGATATTTCAATTTCGCGTGTTATGCAAAGTAGGATAGAAAGATACTATTTAGGCTGGCGTCTGAGTTACTTCAGACAGAGCGTGTTCTGCGTTCAGCCACTTTGTTTCGCTGATTTAAGCTTGCTGTTTTACGGCCATGTATAGTTTAATTGCCAGTTTGTGTACGTTGGTGTTAGGGATAAGAGTCAACTCGCGTTAATTATATTTGTGCAGCTTCGGCTGATTTTTTAACTTAGTTTTAGTTTTATATTTCTATTTCTAGTTGCAGCCGAAAGTATTTACTAAGTTTGTAAGGACCAGAGGTCTATAAATCTTTTAGTGAGTTAAATAACAGGATCTTTTCACCCTTGTCATATCTTGTCATTGATACAGTTGAAATTAGCAAACAGTCGCTTCATAGTTCAAGTAAAGATCTAGCCAGAAAATTAATTTAGCTAGAATCTTACAAGGTGTTTACTGGGAAAATTTTTATAAACGGCAAAATACGGCTTCAATTGATTCTGCTTTTAAACAAAATTAACATTTACAAAATGCATATATCCCTAAATTAGCGAGATACCGCCAAACTAGTTATTAATTTTTGTATCCAAGCTTAACGACATTTTGGTCCGGTCCCCGTGTATTGCTTGTTATATGTGAGTAAGGTAAAAAGCAGAGAAGCTGAAATACTAACTTGAGTAGAGTAACTCTTCCTCTTTAATTTGTGTATTTCCCCCTTTCATCCTAAAATTAACTCTTTATAATAGACAGCTCTAAACTGTTTTTTTCTAAATTAATCCTTTTCATATGATTCATACAAACAGTACTGAGCGTCACTTTTTAATGACGATCACCTCCACGGATAACCAAAACCATTTAGAATCTTGGATGATAATTTGTGAGGAAGAGAGGTTCGTTGTAATATGCTAAAAATAACTTTTCATTATCCGTTGCCGCTATGTTGTTGTGCTTGTAGCACACGTTTCTACATATTGTTTTGCGTCACAGGTTCAGCTTTACATACTTATTATTATCTCTAATTGCAAGAAATAATCTTGTTACCCGGGCGGGGGAGGGGGGGGGGGTAAAGCGGTACCCGAAATGCTTCATTCTTCATCAGTTCGCACAAATGGGGCTTTACAGAACGACACATATATTCGGCCTTTGTTAATCACGAAAATTTTTATTTGCTGTTATGCAAAAGTAAATTCAACAATATTATTTTAAATCTCGTCAAAAGATCTTGAGGACAGTGAATTCTAAGACATCAGTCACCCATAATTTCAGCTGAATTTGAAGAGGTGGTCTTACTGAGGTGACGTCGAGTACCGTTTTTTATTTACGTTCGCAAAAATTTTAAATCATTTTTAGAGGTAGTCATCATATGGACTTCGCTTTTTTTCTGTATTCAGGGATCAAAAAGAATGCTTCAGGTGTACTAATTCGAAAAACTCCGGGTATTATGTATCCTGAATTTCGTCCTGTTATGAACAAACAGTATTTCGATTTAGTGTCGATGAAATGAAAACACGTTTCCATATTTCACGTGATATCAGCTTTTTATGTTGTGGAGAGAAAATATGAAGACCTAGGTCGAGGTTTGTGGTGAATTGTTTATTTTGTTTGTTATTTACTACGAGCAGTATATTATGGTGAGTTAGCGATAAAGACAGGTTGAGGTTTTTCGTGGCTGTTTATTTTGCTTCATTTTCCCCCCTGAAAATTGGAAGGAAACGCGTTAGTCTAAAAATAAGTGTTTATGAAGTATTATGTGTATGAAATAGTGAGGATTAAGTTTATCTTAGTTGAGACCTAATGAGTTTATTTCTTTAAAAAACAGTTTGCTGATTGAAACTCTGTGTAAACTTGCTGTTATTTCTATGAAGTGAAACTTTTATTGATCATCGTTTTTTGAAATAACATCTGGTTTGATGTTTAATATTGAAGTGTACTTAAAAGCGATTAGTTATCCATTTTTTTTCAGCCTTAGCTTATGTTTGACAAATCGAGACTTTATGTACTTGCTGTCAAGCTTGCAGTCTGAATTTAAAACCGTATAAGAAATTTGACAAGTGCTTAATTAATGTGTTTTGATTGCATGATTTATTTCTGAGTTATATATTTTAAGAAAATATCTCTAAATGCTCACTTCCTAAAATTTTTTTAATGGTTTATTTTTCGATAACAATTAAGAACTAACTGTTCTGCGTAAAAGTTTTTTATAGTTTTCTGTTAATGGGGCGCTGCTTGGTGCCAGACATAAACGTTGGCACGAAATCAAATTAGGTGATTGAGTCGGGATCATTAGGTGGTGGTAACCCGAACGATACGTAGGTGACATTAAAATAGTAAAAGAACTTGCAATAACAGTAATTTCATATAATATATGTAATGTTTAATCTGCGTAGGGCCGAATTTGTGCAATTTCCCGTCGTTTTTGAGCGAAAATAACAAATCGTTTTTTTTTTTTTTTAAACATCCGAGAATCTCACAAATTTCGGCATCGCTCAGGGCCCACATTAAACATTGCACAAGTATGCAATGTCTTGAGCATACTTGGCATTTTGATGCACATTTGGCGACTTGCTGTCAAAAGTTACACGAGTTAAGAGAAAAGTACCATTGTTTTCTAAAATGTACAATTTCGTATTTAAAGTTAAAATATTTTATTTGTAGACAAAAGTGAAAATTTTTGTCAGTGTTGTACAAAGTATTTTTTTGTTTTCTACAACAGGCCTCCGCATGAAGGGAATGCTCAGTACAAGAGACCTCCGCATCAACCACTGTCTCATGGGGCAGGCGGGGGTCATCACAGCCCGCCCCTAACGGGCACTAGGGGATATCCATATCCACAGGACCCCTCTTCACGGTGCTCCACCTCTTCTACCTCCTACGTCACTTCCGCTGCTGCAGCTGTTGTAGCGGCCTCCTCCCCCCACTTGGTTCATCCTGGTGGGGGTGGGGCCATTTACGCATCTGCCAATCATATGTACAGGGACACACATTTCCAGGTATGCACTTTCTCTAATTTTAAATAGTTAATTTTATTGCAGGTATATCTTAAAATTAAATTGTGTTTTTGTTGTTGAGTTTGCACTTTTTGTGCATAAGTCTGATTATCCACAACCTCGTAAAAAAAGTCACCAGCTCATAGACTACTTTGTGGATTGTCAAAAACATTTGTTTGGCTGTCTTAACGGCTCATGGACATTGTGTTCATAGGTAATAAAGGACAAAAAAACTTTTTATGTGAAAAAAATATGTTATGAATAAAAAAAGGGCCTATATGGCTGGTGTATTTGTATTTTTATAGTCAGTGGATACTGTTCAGCTACAGTTTTCAAATTTCTTTGAAAAAACAATTTTTATATTTAGGAATACACAGCACATCTGAAGAAATCATTCCTTTCTGCTGGCAGACTTCACAGTCCTTATTGACCGTGTTGTGCAACTTTTGGCCTGCAAATAGCTGCAACTCGCCTTGGCATAGATGCCACAAGTTCTTGGTAGATGACTGGAGACAGGCTGTACCAAATGTCTAAGCAGGGGTCATGCAAAGTTGAGATATTCTGACATAGTGGTGTTTGAGCTACGAGCTGCCACTTCATGACATCCCAAATGTGCTTTATCAGGTTAAGATAAGGTGAGTTAGACGGCCAGGACATTAATTGGAATTCATACTTATGTTCCTCGAACCACTCCAACATAATTCTAATCTCGTGATATGTGATGTTGTCAAGACACCTTCAACTGATACACAGTTATACTCAGCGAGTCCACAGCTTTTAGTTTTCTGTCACAACTAAGCGTCCCAGAGCCACTCATGAGAACATACTCCAAAGCATATAATACTGATACCACCAGCCTGTGTATGACTTGCTGTAAAGGGGGGAGAGCAACTGTTCGCCTGGAAGATAACATATCTTGACACGAGCATCGATGTGATGAATCAGAAATCGTGATTTGTCAGACCAGGCAACTGTCTTCCACTTATCCATGGTTCAGTCTCGATGTTCCAGCACCCACAATAGGCATAGCTGGTAATGGCGATTGGTCAGCAAAGATACACAAGTGGGATGTCTGCTGTGCAGTCCCATGTCCAACAGTGTCCGCTGAAATATGTGTTCTGAAATACTTGCACTGGGACCTGCATTATAGAGCTGTTAGCTGAGCCACTGTCTGGTGCCGACTTTGCTGTACCAAGCGGGACAATCTCCAACGTTCTTTTTCTTTGATGATGTTGTGGACTTTCAATACTTTGTCATCTACTGCTGGTTTTACTATCATTTACCCACTTTGCATAAATACTAACAATAGAAGCTCATAAACAACCTATTGGTCATGCAGTTTTGGAGATATTTGTTCCAAGTCTTTGAGCCACTACAATCTGATCTCTATCAAATTCTCTTAGATCAACAGCCTTATCAGACACAAAAGTAAGTGCAAGAATGATTCCTTACCTTCTGGAGCAGCAGTTAAATATCATTCCCACTTAATCACTTGCCCTTCACGTCATTCAGATGGGTTCATTGAAAAATATGGGAAATATCATAATGTTTTGTCTCATCAGTGTAAATATGTTTGGTAATCTTTTCACTGACCTTAAATTTAGCTGCACATATGCTGTGAACTAATCAGAAAGCATAATAATGCAGAAAGCATAACGATGCGGTGTGCAAATAATCAGAAAAGAATAATGAATTGAGTAAAAATATTCAGGTATTGGATGTAATTACACTTTCACGTATGTGATAACTGTATGAAGCGATTTCCCCCCCCTTTCTATAAACCTTTCTTTTAGTTGAGGTATGTTTAATAAGCTTGCCATTGGACATCTTCATTTCCGGTATTTTTAATAAAACACCCTCTTCACGTTTTTTTTTATAGCACAGATTCTTAATTTCTTGTTTTCTGTTTAACATCACCCATGGTAAAGTGCATTGAATATGATACAAAGTCTAATTATTTGCAATTTAAGCTGAAAATTTTGAAGTTTCGTTAGTTGAAAAGTGGTTTTGAATATATAATATAATTTTCTGTTATTTTTTAATGTGTGGCGATTTTTTTAATTTATTATTTTTTTTTTTTTTTAAATTCATCACAGAATTCTCGCAAAAGTGTGTATCAAGTGACTTATGCATCTTCCCCTCTCGTGTACGATTGTAATCGGGTTAGTGCATTTCGTCCTTTTTCATTTTAATCCCAGTTCGAAATGATACCATTTTGTTCGCAGCCTTTCCCACCGATTCTCCCATTCCTGTTTCAGCCGCTTTTCGAAAAGTTACTTTCCGATAAAGCGAACATCTGATTTCGCCAATTGAAACAGTTTAGGTGAAACAACCCTTATTACTTTGACCTCAGTTTTTAATTTCTAATATTTATTATATAATTCTTTTAAGCAAATTGTTTTGAGCAAGCTAATGAATCCCGGGGATGTTCAAAAGGTGTATATCAGAAATTAATTACGGTTTTGTTAAATTCAACAAAAAATACGGCTGTTTTTGATCCTGAAACATTTTATGATTGTTTCCGTGTGAATAAAGAAAAATTATATGCCCTCCAAGCTGATTATGCTAGAAAGCTGACGATCCCAAAACAACTGTTGTATCTTATTTCAACGAATACGATTCCAAACGACGTTAGAATAAGACATTTCAACAGTTGCTTTATATTTACCTTTTTCTGAGCTGTTCGTTATATTTACACGGTCTAAAGTCCAAAATTCATTTGAGGAAAATCCAAAAAGATCGACGTAATTCAGATTACAAATAATGTGTTAAAATAGTTTTTAACACACCTAAAGCTGATGCACACACACAAGTAGAAAGGTAAACAATTTAATGTATCGCGAGAAGAAAATTATAGAATGAAACTTTCCTTGAACTTCTCTTATATTCGCTTGCTGCTCGCCGTCTGAGGGACAAACTGTTGAGCTGTCCACGTGCGAAGGTCGTTGAGAAAGAGGTTACCGCATCGATTAATTTGACGTAGTGGAGGGGAGGCCGGCATTAAGCTGCCTCAGCTAGCAGGATAATCTTGGACTCTCCGTAAAAGCAAGAAGTCGCGACAGTGCTTCTTATGTCCGTTAATCGGACTCGAAAACGTATTGTGCGTTTTATCGCTGGTGTTAGACTTAAGAATGGTATTAAACATTTGACGTGTAATGTTGAAAATCATGAAAATTCACGATACAGATCGCGGATTTTAATGCTAGAGCCACAAAATCTTAGTATTTTTGTATGAAATTGAGGTATCACAATGAAAGTGGCAATAGAAATGTATCTATGTAAATGACTCTTTTAACCGTTCTATTTCAGATGTAGATCAGTTGATTTTGAAATGAGGCTGTTGAGAACAAAGCTAACCAATCCCTTGGAGTACAGATAGAGATTTTTTCAGAACACTTTCGTTACTAATGTATTATTTTGAATGTTTTCTTTCGGTATTTCCTTTTCGAAAGTGAATGGGATTAAATAGAAAAATATGACACTATTAAATAAATGCATTAATTACTGTTTGAATAAAGTAAATAAAAAGAAAAAAAATATACACCGAGTTTTGCAAAGCGAAAAAAAACCCCGAAGCCCATGGTTTGCTTGTTTGCAGAACTTACACTTGATTGAAGTGAGCTGTTGGTGTGTTTTGCACATTGCAGCTTAGGTTATCTGAATACGGAAGAGAGTACATAAGGCCTATCTGCTTAGGGAAAGGGATAGCCTTATGGAGGACTTTCTAAGCTAGTTCGTATTCACCTTACAGTTGGTGAAAAACCAGGAAAACCAACCAATGAAGCCATAACTAGGATCGAACCCAAGTTAAACTGCCAAGATTCAGCTGTTTTAAGTACTTGGCCACTCGTGTGGGGCTTTTGTACATTGTTAGTCCATGCACATGGAATAAGATTCATGAAAGAAGTCAGCGTCTGTAAACGACAGTGTGATTAAAAAATCGCTGATCATATCTTTTTTTTTTTTTTTTTTTTTTTTTTTTTTTTTACGTTTCATTCTTGTCACGGCATGAGTTTCTCTGCGTGATTGTTTGCGTGTGTCTTCCCTCTTGTGTAACGCAAATGCGAACTAATTTTAAAAATAGTCTTCAGCATCTTTGGATAGCTGTTCATAATTCTACATTCAAAAAGACTGTCGCTTCAAATGTACGTAAAACATAACAAATGAAATTTTTCTGAATAAAAACTTTGCCTGTATGTTTTTGTTGATACCTATTATTATACAAACGCTGTTTCTTCATTTGTAGTAATTTCAAAGTTTCATTTATCATTTTAGTCAATAAAAAGCACCATAGCATTTTTAGAAATTTATTTCAAAGGGTTTCTAAATATTATAAGATGAAATGATCATTTGCACACATACGAGTCAGCTACTAGTAATGAAGTCCTCACCCTTTTTTTACTGTACACTTTGTTTAAATGTAATTATGCAAGAAATTAAGTGCAGCGCCAACCACTGCCTGATTTTGCTTCTTGAGGAAAAAAAGAATAACTTATTGCATACCTACCTACAAGCGGGTTTTTGTTTCTTCTGGTGGAAATTTCGTGGCGATCTCTTTAAGAATAGATTCAAAGCAGCTATTACTTTAAAGTTATTTTTTTTACCAGTATTCCTGCGGAAATTTTGTTACACTTTATTTCCATAGCAGGCTAATCTCACTTATACATACGTTAAAGCTGAATGTAAAATGACTATAAAAATCTCTCGATTGTAACAAAAAGAATGCATGCGAAAATGGCGACGTCTCTTCCCAAAACTGAAAAATTGTTACGTGCATGGTTGCTAGTGGATTTTGAAAATTTGACTTCGTCTAAGGTAATTGCGTTAGTACCGCATATATCAAGGTTATGACCAAATTATTGATAATTATTAAGCTTTTAGGATCATTGATGTTACACTGCAGAAGTCTCGTGACGATAGATGATAACGTGCGAGAGAAATCTCCAAAATGAATCTGCTAAATATCTTTAAAGGTTTTTTTTTTCGCGCATTGTTATTTTAATTATTATAACTTTGCGCCTTCTCCTGACTTTTACTTGAGGCAGTTCGGTCGTTTTCCTCATTCTTAACGTGGCTGTGGTACGTTGATTGATTTGAAAATTATAATTTCACTTTTGGTACATTCTATCATTATAGTAAATTAAAAAGATTACTTTTGAGAAGTGGGTAATTACCGAAATTTTATTGAGGCGTATTTTTTTCTGAATAGCAGTTTTATAAACATATAAAACTTTGAAGAACAATTTTTAGGGTACTAAACGTGTTAGCGCAACAACCTCGAAGAAGTCGCCACAGTTTTCAGAATGTACCAAAGTTAGTTGCTGGTTTAGCTTTAACAAGCAGTGTCGCCATTTCCGTATGTGTTGTGTTTGTTGCATTAAATTTATTTTAGAGAAAAATTGTGATATTTTTTTACCTTGAATTCGGTTTTAAATTATACATTTGGGAAATCTGCTTGGCGTGGAGGACATTTCAGTAAAATTTCTATAAAAATACAGTTTTGGGAAGGGGGGAACCAACCCATCCACCACCACCTCTAAAAGAACAATTAATCTATTTAAAGCGATCGCCGATCTCCACAATATTTCTTACGAAGCCCCTACAAAGTTAGTTTATTTATTAATTTTTCAGAATAAATAATTAAAGCGTAAAATATGTACGTACTAAGATACGTGTATGTACTGAATATTTCTTTCCATTTTTATGTCTTCATTCTTTTTCTTCTGTAAAAAATCGCCAAAGTGGTTGCGCGAATATCTAACTATCAGAAAATCTTATGCATTTGTTTCTAGTTATTTAAGCTGTTTTATCGCCACATGGGTTTATATTGTTCCTCGTTTAATAAACTCGAGAAAAATGTAGTCTCTGAAAGACATTTGTTTGCCGTGAGCAGATGTTCCCAGTGCAGATTTTGGGTTACCGAGTAACCTGCTGAAATCTTTTTATTTTGATAAATACTGTTCACATAATTCGAAATAATCTTTGGTAGGACTTAAGATATATGAGATTGAAAAATTTTATTTCTTAAGAGTCCTAGAATCAGGATTTTTTGTAGGATTTCTTTTAATTACCATTTGATTTTTGGCAACTTGATAATAGTTCTCTGTTATTCTGTATAAAATTTTTAAAGTAGTGCTATCCCAATTTTGTGAAAATCTTTTTGTTTCCGTAGGATAGATTGCAAGTGTTGAATTTTTAATTCGTATTTAATGTGATTAAAAAGCGTGTAGTTTTAAATAAAATGAACATAAATAGTTGGCTTCGTATCCTTTACAAATATCAAATTACAAATTTTCGTATCGTTTACAAATAAAAGTAAATATTTACCACCATACATATTTTAAACGGAACTATTCAAAGTAGAAAGTACAATTAAGCAGTTTAATTTTGTCGCCAAGTGGGCGAGAGGGTTTGCCAATTCCTCCCGGCCAAAATGTATTTTTAAAAATCTGCTAAGCAGCTTTAGAAGATGGTAATTAATTTTTGTTTATCATTGTAATAGCAATACGAATATTTATATGAGCACTAGAAGACTGTGTTGTCAAAGCCGGAGCTAGACGTTCTGCTGCCCGGTGTGTGCTTGCTAATTTTCCCACACTGTGCTTGGCTACATTTTCCATCCCTAAAATTCGACCACTGGCGCGGCCGCACACTGTACCGGCCTTGATTGTGTCGAATGTAATTTTTAATAAGTTTGTGAAAAGAGGAAATTCGGTAAAATGGAAGTTTCGCAATCAGTTTATTACTCACGATTATTTGCTTTCTTTTTGCATTCTGTAATAAATTCTACGATCGAAGAGCTTAATGTGTATTTTATTTAGTGGTTATGTTTTTCATCGTTATAGACTATATTTAACTATTGCGCTATATTAATATCGCTCTTTTTGATCAAACTTCTGAATAAAATTAAAAAGCAAAATATATCTGATATGTTTATTATCTTTGCATTCGTGATACATAAATTTCTCATTATTTTATTTAAGCTCTCTTAAACATGTAGAATTATATTTCATGTGAAAAAAAAAATCTTATTTTAAGCAGTTTGATGCAATAGCTTTTCATGAGAGTGGTATATGTTTTGCTTTTGTCATGTAAAACATTTTGAAGTATTCAGTTGAACTGCAAGTTAGTTTACATATCATTATTTGTTGTTTTACTGATTTTCTGTATTTATGTTTTTAGGTTGACACTCGGCAACCATCCGAAAGCCATCATATTGAAAGGTATGGAGACCAACATGTGCATGTTAGGCGCAGGTTATCTTTAAGACCGACACCTGAATATAATTCTCTTATTGAAAGAGAAAGGTAGTATAGCCCTTCACATTTTAAATATACTTTATGTAATCTGGGCATGATTCATGACCTCTTTTATTTGTTGTATGTATTGTTGTTAATATCATTTTTTTAATAACTGTAACGCTAATGGGAGTTTTATAACCTGTAAATATGAACATATTTAAAGAGCTTCAGTTGCCTGAAAAGAAACTCGGGTACTTTTCCGTTTTGCCGGCGCAAACGATAAAGTCGCCAATAATGGTTTAACTGATGCCAGACGAAATATCTTCGCTGGTAACCTTTTACACTTCAGTTTCAAAACAAGTTGAAGCCATTTCTTATCAGATTGTTTCTTTCAATACTGGCATATAAAATTTTTACACGATATTTAAATTTTATCCCCTAAGACAATTCACGGTAATAAGTCAATTAGTTCTAAGTCAATTAGAACCGCAATTACAACACCGCTCATCCCGAAGGCGAAATCAAGTGTTAAATTCATCAATTCTAATGAGAATGCACTAGCGAAGTAAAGCACTGCGGTTTTACATAATTTCTGAGTAAGCTATTCGTACGAATTGAAATAATTCTTGCATTTAAACTTGTATTCCAAATTAAGATTTAACGTCAAATTAATGTAGATAATTACTGAGCGAATTAGATTTTTGTAGCGTAGTTTACGTGAGATGAGATCACTTGGGGACTACGTGATACGAACCAGGCGAAATCAGGATTTTTGAACCATGAAAAGCATAGTAAATTCTTAAATTAATGTCTTTTTTACAAATTTATTGTCTTTATTTATTGGCTTTTTACAAAATTTTAAACCATATTAAAATGTTTATGCCTTCAAAAAAAAAAAAAAAAAAAAAAAAAAAAAAAAAAAAAAAAAAACTTAACATTTTTTATGTGTATACTATATGTTGTCGCCAACAAAGTCTGCTTGGCGAGATTTGCGCCGGCGAAACGGAAAAGTACCGAAACTCGTAAACATCATGATTTATTTGATGACTGCAGAAGCTTTAGTTTCTAAAATTTTTAAGCTAGGTTCAGTAGTCCAAAAATGAAAATTTTTGTGTTTTGCGGCATACTTGAAGATATAGCATATGTGCTAATATCTAAGTGCATATATCTAAAAAGCTACCCAATTTTTTTTTTTACAGGTATATGGAAGCTATTAGGTACCAATATGAAAATAATCCTCCATTAACGATTGGTGTTCCTTATTCCTCAACCGCAATGGCTGCTAGAACCTTAAAACCACCAGTAGTGAGTGTGCATACTCCTTCTGAGATGGATGCTGGGCAACAGATGAAGCGGCCAAGGCTTGCTGTTGAACCCAAAGCTCCCGTCCATCAACCTCTTTTAATAGATACAAGAAATGTTGTGATAAAAAAAGTAAGCTAATTTCTGTAATTACAATTTTGGCATGCTGCTCTACTATATACATGTGCATTTCTCAAAATATTTGCCAACAAAAATAAGCTGGCTCTGATCCTAATTTAATGAACCAGTTGAAATTAGTTTACTTCTTTGACAAGGTAGAACCATTTTGATTTTGTCCATGTGTTAGGCATAAATCTGTCAAAAGTAAATTAATGGTTATTTTGTTTCAACTTCCAGGAGTTAAGTTACTTTTTTTTTTTCAGTTGGGTTGTATCAAATGTTAGAACAGAAGTCCTGAAATTAGAAAGTTTAGTTTTCTTTTATTAATTTTTTATCATGCATTTGTAAATTGTTAGGTACTTTCTTATTTAAAATAACCAGGCATAAGCTTTTTGGCTGCATTTGAAGTATTAGTAGTGATTGGGTTTGCCAATTTTGGCAACTGAGTGGCTCTGGGCCCTTTGAGAAGGAGGTTCTAACTATTAATATTTTTAATTATATGTTCTTGTTATCTGTTATTTATTTTGTGTAATATATGTCATATTTGATATATGTTAGTATATTATTATTATTATTATTTTCTATGTAAAAAAGTAATAGCAACCCAGTTACCAATAAACGAATACAGGAAAATTTTTCTGGTACTTCTTTGGTAGACGGTTGCACGGATTTTTGGTGATTTACTTTGGCGCAATTGTTGGCGCGGTTTTTACAATCGTCAACCATCTTGAAAAACGCCGTTTTTACGTTATTTTCCGCATAGTAAAATATTCAAAACTTTAAAAAAATAAATATTTAAATTATGGATGAATTTTTTTGTTGAAAACATTGTTTTTTAAGATGGCAAGCAAATGTAAATAAATACATTTACTACGAGTATAAAATACTAAAGAAAGGTTAAATTATTACTTTCATATAGCACAGAAGTAGAATAAAAATACCGCTATAAAAACATTGCACCAACGTTTAATTGGATTAAAATATTATGTAAACTGAATATCGAATTAAAAACCATCATACCAACGTTTAAAAGAATTAAAATATAACTTAAATTAAATACTTAAAAATAAGTAAATAAGAACGCTTCGTACACTAGAGCTAAAATGACAGCAATTAGTTATTGTCGGTAAAAAAGGACGAATGTCTAATAATTTTCTTACCATTACAGCGGTTATTTCTTCCAACATGACCACAATACCATATACGGCCGTCTCAGAATCGGCTCTTCTAACGATCTTCATATGTGATCTACATTTTTGCACTTCATTGAAGAAGCAATTAGCAAGGTTTCCTCCAAAAAATTAAAATAAATTTCCTCTGACCCTTGTAAGAATTTATAAATAAATCTTTGATTAGGAAAGCCAGGCTGGCGAAAATAAGGTCTCAAAGGACATTTTTTGATTCCTATATCAATACATTCTTGCTACTTTATCCAATAACAACATTCATCTTTGAAGGAATTCGAAAGATGTGAATTCAAATTTTAAAATGGCGCAATAATGCACAAATTTTCATTAACTTCGATCAGGGAGCTGATTGCAGCTCGTTAATGCACAAATATTCTATAACTGAATCAGAGAGCTGATTACATCATGCCTAGAATTAAAATTATTTAAATAATCATACATAATAAAACCATTTAAAAAAGAAATGCAAAATTAAATTGTATTTTAATATTTAATAAATAATGTTTAAAACATTAGATTAAATTTATAGATATTAAAAGCAAATATTTTTAAAGTAAGGCGACGTCGTTGATTACATCATCCACAGCATAAAATTTCATAAAATATCATAAACAATAAAATTTTTATTTCAAATAAAAATGCAAAATTAAATTGATTTTTAATATTTAGAAGTCATAAATAATATTTAAAACACGGAATTTATGCATAATAAGACGCATTATATTTTTAAATAAAATGACAACAAAGTATCAGTTACCATAAATAACTTTTCCAGCAATGGGTTTACCATAAGTCATAATACTCGCCAAAAGAAAAATTGCCAAAAAGTTGCCAAAATCCGTGCAACCGTCTACCAAAGGAGCACCATTTTTCTTTTGAAGGAATTTTGTATCAAAACTGAATTAGGTTTCTGCTGAAAATTTTGGTTTGGGAGAGAGGATAAATTGCACATGAAAATTTATAAGATTCATTAGGTTTAAAGGCAATTATAATTACTTAAAAACACTTCTTTTTTTCTTCAGAAACTTTATTGTTGAACTGTTGCTATAAATCCTCTTCACTGTGCAGTTTATGCAGTGATTGATTGGCACAAAATCGACAATCAGGATATAATCCACGCCAAGTGAGCTGTTTTATTCTATAAGTAGAAAGTCAAAACAGGGTTGGGATTATTATGTGTCAAATTTGCGAAATACTTAGGGGTCCCACAAAATTTTAGTAAATATTTCATGGGGGTCTTCAGACCAAAAAGTTTAAGAAACCCTGCTTTAGATACTATATAAAATGAACATGCTTTCTACTATAATACCAAGAACTCCCTCCCCCAAACACACACTTTCTATTATTGGGCATAGTAAGGGCCCCTTTTTAATTTTTGTAAATGTAAGATATAATATCTATTTTGTTCAGGAAGAAAAGCCATTAAATTATTTTATTACTTGATATGCCTCAAATATGTTATTTTGATTTTCAGCTCCGATAGGGCCTGTTTTTAACTTTTAAATAAATTAGGTAGGAGTATGTAATCTTGCTCAGGAAGGGCATCTCAACAATAGAGCTAAAGTACAAACACACCTCGAAGCACCACCCCTCTTTTTTCCTCCCATTTGTCAGACCCACAGGCTGTGTGGAACCAGTGGGTATTTTCCTTCCCAAAGATAAATGTTTTGCATCTAAAACTGGCCTTAGAAATATTTCCCCTACTAATTGTGAAAACTTAAACCACCTACTTGTATCTTTACCCAGAGGAAAAATTCATCTTTTTGTTACCTAGTCTGTCACCTGAAATTAACAAAGACAATCCCATAAAGCATAAAAGCATGATTTCAAATCAGCAAATTTTCTATTCCACTACCAGATGAAAACCTAAAGTGCATGTCTATTTCCCATGTTTGTGAATGAACTTTCCTTTTATGTGATTTTATTAAAAACCCTCTGTGTTTTGAGTGATCTTATGAAAACCTGGCTAATATGACAAATAACCTGCCACCCTTTTTTTCCATTTTGTATGCATTCTGGGGTTTTAGAAAACAAAGCGATAGAGGTCTTTCCCAACTACCATGCCTCTACAACTGTGTAGCGTTTTAATGCCAGAGGACAATTTTGAAATTCACAAGTTTTTCTCTAATAAAGTTAAAAAGTAGTTGTTATAGTTAGGTGATACATATTATTAGTATTATTATTTTGATTGGAATTGTAGTATGCTTTGTAGTACTCTTTGTAACATCTTTCTCTTTGAATATGTGTTACTTCACTTATAGCCTATGATTCCTCACTTTTCAGATTATTTTTTATTTCTGATTTTTGTTTTCAGGAACCTGCTTATACACCTCAGGTAGAAGCAATTTCTCCTACATTGCCATCTGAAGAAGGTCGAGGTGAATCTCCAATGCGGTTACTGAAAGAAAATATTCTAAATAATATCAATCGTTTAGACAAAGAAATTAATCAAGTTGAATCGCAGATTACTAAACTTCAAAAGAAAATGGTGAGAATTATAAATGTTAAGTTTTGTATGCAAAACAACCAATTTCAGATTTAATGTAAATGTGTATTCGTTATTTATTTATGCTGCATTACATTAGTTTTATATTTCATTACTTAGTAAGTGTGCTAAAATAATAATTATATTAAATATATCACTATTTAATATAATGTGTTAAAATAATTATTTTATTAAATATTGCATTAATTAACAATTGTTTGTTGATTTTTCTTTCATAGTTTAACATACGTTAATAGCACTTTGCTGATATACAATCAAAAGTCGTTAATCCGGACTCGTCGGGACTTCGGCGATTCCGGATTATCGATTTTTCCGGATTATAGATCATCAGTTTAAATCTGGTAAGATGGCATGCAGAAATTACAAAATTAAAAATATGAAACCGTAATTTATGAAATAAAGAGCAATTATGATCTAAAGGGTATCAAAATTTACAAAAAGAAAAAGCTTAATATTTATTTGTTTACTTTATTAAACATTTCTTTATTTCAATGTAAGTTGTTTAATTTGCTTCGTTTCATGTGATAATACTTTCTCTTTAATTCTATTAAACAGACATAATTTCTTGTTTAGTTACAAAGTTCCGCTGTTCAAGTCCTATAATTGCTGTGTTGAGAATACCGACTAATTTGTCAATGGAAATTTTTTTCGTTTTCAATAACCTCTGGGTCACTTTCTTCACTATCGGAAGCGAATTATAATGACGAGGAACTTGATTTAAATCATATCAAAGACGGAGTACATAGACATGAATAAATACTACTTAGTAAGGAATTATAAGCCAAATAAAATAAAAACATCTGCCCTGAAGATAAGGATAGTGCTGACAGATCAACTTCCAATCCGCGGCGTGAAATTGATAAACAGATTTCGGATTTCAGAACATACTTTCGCTTTGTAGATATAAATTACATATTAGTAAATATATATCGGAAATTCTATTTGACATAATCGAAAGTTCAAGCTTACTTTTATGAAATTGTTCTAAAAGTCTGCAAAAAATAATAAGCCGGATCCAATTCGAAGATTAAGGAGCAACGCAATGTGCAACATTAACTGAATCAGATAATTTTAGCTTAGCTTATACCTCCGTTACGCATTAAACGCGCATGTGCACAAACATATTCGCAGCCGTAAAGGTCTTACGCGCACTCTTAAACTACGCATGCGCAGAAAGTTTGTAGCTTTGAGGTCCGGATTCTAGATCATTCCGGATTATGGGTGTCCGAATTAACGACTTTTGACTGTAGTATGTGTTTTTCCTGTAAGCATAGGCTTTGTATTTTATCAATCATGACTTTATTTTCCCTTTATTTTTTCTTTTCCGTTCCTTTTATAATAATATTTATGAATATTGAAAAAATAAATTATTAAAAGAAATAATAAACTTTTAAATGATTGAAATTGTCATCTCTGTTATACATTTCTGTTTGATCTTTCATCTGCTACTGTTGGCTTTAAAGTATATTAAAGTTGTCTCACTATATTAAAAATATTTTTTACTTAAGTTTTTCTTCTTTTATTTCCTCTTGATATTTAAGCTTCTTGGATTTTAAGAACTTGTTAAGCTGTTGAGTGTTTGTCTTTGTTCTGATTGAAATCCTAAATAATAAATGAGCAGGAATTGCAACAGAAATTTGCATTAGATCTCAATTTTAGCTTTAAAAGCAAGTATATATACTTAACCTATATATTTTTATTGCCATAAATTTGTACACTTTTGGCATATAATTTACTGTAAATTATAAATTTGGTAACATTTAGCCAAATTAATGTATGGTAAATTTAAGCAAAAGTTCTTTTAATGTAACAGAAAAATAATTTCAGAGTTCACTATAATGTAATGCAATACTATTAGTAGCAATAAAATAAATTAGAATTTTTCATCTTCAGCATGAATTGGAAGCTGAAGCTAGTAAGCCCTCTGTTACAAAAGAAATTGTAAAAGAAATCAGTCCTGTAGAGTCCAAACAAATCAGCATAGCACAAATAATATATTCTGAAAATAGGGTGAGTATCAAATTTCATATTTTGAGATTTAATATAGTTTTAATTACTTCTCATTATTTATTGTATATTCAGTGTACGTATTGTATATACATACTTGTTGTATATTCAGTACCAATTTATTCTGTATTTTATATCTTTGGATATATAGTATATATTTATTTATTTTCTTTTAGAGTAAAGCTCAAGAGTCTCATGCGATTTTAGAAAAATTAGGACAAAAGGTTGAAATAGTATGTATAAAATTATTAGTAGGAAATTTTGAAAGTTGTAAATGAGAGAATAATTGCATTCTAAGTATTATGGCTGTTTTAAAATGTGAATTCAATTATATTAAAACAATTTTAGGTTATATTTTTATAATAGTAATTTTTATGTAGTATATTTACAAGCAATGTTTCTTAATAAAATATTTCATTTCATCAAAATTATCTTAATTTCAAGGAACTGGGTTTAATGAAACATTTTTCTATTCCATGATCTGTAACATATATACATATTTCTAAGAATCTAGTGCATACTGAATTCTGCTCTTTGCATTGTTAAATATGGCTGTTAAGAAGCAAAAATTTCATTTTAAAAATATAATTTTAAAGCATGCATTTTAGCTATGTGTCCATACTCTTCCACCCATAATTTTTTTAAAACATTATGCTGTAATAATTTCAAAACGGTTTTCAAATACCATAGTGTGGGCTAAGCAGGAATTAATTTCATTTCTATAGCTTACAGTCATGGTTATGCTATTTGCAGAACAAGTACTGGCTGTTTTAAAAATTGTTGAAAACTAATATATCAGCAACACATGGTGATAATATGCCATTCAAATCTAACTAAAGAACACTAAAATTATACTTAATTGCAAGTTATAGCAGGAAAAATTAAACATAACTGATAAACTAGATTGTGTGTAATAAAGTAAATTTTCTGTCTTCAGTGCAATTTTTTCCCCACTGTCCACTGTTTCACCACTGCTTCTACTTCTAGGAGTGAAGAAGAATAGGTGATTTTGTATTTCAATTACTATATTGTTATTCCCTGAAACAGAGCTTTTTATGTTTGTGTGAAGGTCATTCTGTTTATTAATAAAAAAAAAAAAAATTGAAATCTGAAGAAAATCCTCGGTCTTGCCGTAAGAGATGCTTATCATAAATCAATTTTCAGAATCTGGGTAGTGTAGAGGCATATTATCCTGAGTAATAAAACAACTAGAATTATAATAATTTTATTGAATAACTAGAATTATATTTATAATAATTCCACAAATTGGCCTTGTGGTTAAGACCCCTGATTATGTAAGTCAACTCAGATTCAAGTTCGAATGAACTTAGTGTCTGGATGGTTGGTTTTAGTAGTTTTACACATACAAAATCTTAATATGAGCTAGTTATTCTTAAAAAGTCCTCCATAAAGCCATCCCCTTTTTGTTCTTTTCATGTAATTTATACAACTTGCACTTTTTCCTATTCCTAAAATGCTCATCTAGTTTTAAAGTAATGTATAAATCTGTTTCTGAAATCTAACTTGCAGCTTTTCCTAATATGGCATGTAGCCAACTTTTATATATACCATACTCACAGAATGCAGTAGGGTACTTTGATCATACCAGTTATATGTTTGCATGGTAATCTGTCAGACTTAATTAAAAGCAGTACTTAACTGGAAATAGCTAGTTTTCATCATTTAGGAATTCACTTGAGTTAATAATTAAAGTTATGCATGTTAAAAATTAAAATTTTAAATTCTTTTTCGTGCAGTTTCTTGCATGAATGTGTATGTAAAATTTTTCTTGTTTATTTTATTTTTAGTTAATAACTTATTTCTATTTTAGCCAATGTATAATCAACCATCAGATACAGCTGTATATCATGAAAACAAAAGAAAGTAAGTTTGCTACTCCATTTAAATTTTATAGACTTAAAAATATTTTCCAAAGAATTTCATCTGAGAAAGTATGACATGTCTTTAATGGTATGATTTACATCTTTTAGGTTTTTATTGTTTAGGAGTAGATTAGTCAAATGCTTTAGGAAACGGCATAGAGAAAGGGAGCTGAGGGTGAGTACTTTGTCTCTTAGTTTGAAAGTGAAGTAATGACTTTGTGAAATAGTCATCTAATTTGTATCTAAAATGTTACAGGAAAAACATCTAACAGAAACATACAGCAAGTTGATGCAGGAGTGGCTGAAAAAGATGGAGAAGAAAGAAAATAATTCACAAAAAAAGTAATAAAATTTTTTTTTAACTATTCCTTTGCTTATGAAAGATAATATTCATTAATCATTCAAAATGCCTAGTTTGGTGTGCTATATTTTCATTATTAAGAAGTCTTTTATTTTTAGTATTATGCAGCTGTGATCATGAAATAATGTAAATTTGGAAACTTCAAATGAGATAAAAGCATGTTTAGTAAATTGTTAAAAAGTTACCAACAATTTGTAGGTCAATCATTGGATACTCAAGTAGGTCAATCATTCGGTCAAGAAGTCATATTAGGAAGCAGTTGTGGCTCGTAATGAGCACTGTGGAACTGCAGCACCCCCTATTTCCACTTATTATAATTTTTAATATTTAATATAGTGTACCCTTTAGTCTTTAATTCTTTCTTTATACTTTTACAATACATAATCCTTAAGCTTAATGTCAGCCCCCAGTTTGTGAAAAGGGTACTTTGGAAAGGGTTTGGAAAAGGTGGAATTTGTTTGGAACTGCAAGCTTTACAGTTCCAGCGACATGGTATTTGGCTGTTCTGTGCATGCGCACACAGAAAGCAGCACACCGAGCCAGGGAGAGAGAAAGCACTGTTGCTCTTGCAGTGCCGAAATTCTGGCGTGTTATTGAGAATGTGATTTCTTTTTACTCCGCGCGTGTTGTATTCCTCCACAAAGTGGAAGTTCATCATACGGACCATAGACATAAAAATTTGCAACCTTTAAAAAATTGCCTTACTGGAATTCAACATCAAATGCAAATCAAACTATTGCAAAAGTGACAGGAATTTAAAAATATCTAAATGATGTTAATTTCTAGTTTTAATTAGAGCTTTTTTTATCAGATTATGCCTCATGTTGAAATAATATACAACTAAATGCAATCCAGAGAAACGAGTGTGTTTAAAGTTAAATTTCAAAACTGCTATTTTAGGATTAAGAAACTCAAAATAATGTGATAATTTTTCAAAGACACTGATGGCAGAAGCTAAGGAAATATGTGATTTTATACTATGTATTGGTATAATGCACAGATATTTTTCTTCACTAAATACTTAGCAGCTGCTAAATTGTTTAACAAGAAATGCTTCTCTAGTTTTAGGAATGAACATTCTACAGAAGAAATAGTACTGACCACTGAAGCATATCCAATGATTGACAAAGAAAAGCTTGAAACTGAACTAAAAGTATTCTATTGCAGGTCTGATATTCATGAATATTGCAAATTAATTGAGCTATTGAAATTTATCTTCAAAAATAATCTAGCTGATGTTCTTAGTGAAATTACGAAACTGATAAAAATTCTCTTGAGAGTTCCCATGACTACATCAGAGGCAGAACGCTGCTTTTCAACATTGAAAAGAATGAAAACTTTCCTAAGAAGCACCAGGAATTCGGAAAGACTAAATGCGCTTGCATTGCTTTCAATAAAAAAAATTTCCTTGATTGTCATCCAGAGATCAAGGAGAAAATTATTGAGCCTTTACGCTCAAATTAAAATAAGAAGAATGGAAGTCATTTTTAAATAAATAGATGTAGATTGAACTGTAATAGGTAAGGTTAAAGTAATTAAGAAATGTTTGATTTTTTCTTGTAAGCTTCCATAATAAATTTTCTTTTTATACATGTTTGTTTCCTTTTACACAATTTTGAACTTTAAAGTTTAAAGTTCAAAATTGTGTAAAGTTAAAGAACAGCACCTCCACTAATTTTAACTACGAGCCGCCACTGTTAGGAAGCTTCGTGTAAATTAATAATAATAATGAATAGAGTGCTTATAAGTTGTTTTCAATAGCAATGTATTTTATTAAATTCTAATAACATTTTCTGAAGTATAAGAAATATGCAACTTTAAATGTTGTTTTAATTGCAAAATATTTTTAATGTATATTAATTATGAGTATTGCACAAAAGTAATATCAAATACTTAGAAAAAGCCCAATCACATACGATGATTTTTTGTAGGATCAGATGATTTAATGTATTCATTCATGATGACCATATTTAATTAATACGATAGCTTTAAAATTTTCAGCATTGGAAATTTTTGCTCTAATGTATTGTATTGTAATGTTGCTTCATTATTTTAATATTAAAGCAATGTATTATTTGATTTTATAAATATATATTTTTAAGCAGTGCTTTTATGTTATTTGTTAGGGTTAAAGATGGGAAGTTACGAGAATTTTTTGAAAAGCAATTTCCTGAACTTAAAAAACAAAGAGAAGACAAAGAAAGGATCTCCAGAGTGAGCCAACGAATACGAAGTGATGCAGAGTGGGAAGAAATTATTGATGGTTTACAAGAGCAAGAGGTGACTTTAACATTTATAATTAGTCTTAAAAGAAAGTTTGGGGTTGTTGTAAAAGTAATACAGTCAAAACATAATCCAGACCTCAAAGCTAAAAACTTTCTGCGCATGCGTCAATGCATAATGCTTTCATGCATGCGCATAGGCGTTTACGCATGCGCGTAATACTTTTACATATGCACATAATACGTTTACGCATTCGCGTTTAATGTATAACGGATGGTATAAGCTAAGCTAAAATTATCTATTTCAGTTAATGTTGCAGATTGCGTTGTTCCTTAATCTTCGAATTGGATCCGGCTTATTATTTTTTGCAGTGTTAGAGCGATTTTATAAAAGTAAGCTTGAACTTTCGATTATGTCAAATAGAATTTCCGATGCTGGAGCTGCCAAAGGATCTACAAAGCGAAGATATGTTTCGATGTTCATCAAACAAAAAGTGGAATTGCTGCAAAAAATGGATAAAGGCATATCCTTTGTTTCTCTAACCATTCCGAAATCTGTTTATCAATTTCACACTGCTCTGCGGGTTGGGGGAATGCCGCGACGGCGAGCAATGAATTGGAAGTTGATCTGTCAGCACTATCCTTATCTTCAGGGCAGATGTTTTTATTTTATTCAGCTTATAATTCCTTACTAAATGTAGAATTTCATCTCGATGTATTCCGTCTGTGATATGATTTAAATCAAATTCCTCGTCATTATAAATATCACAAGTGCACATCAAATAGTTTTCTGGTTGCAATTTTCTAATTTCGTCTATGCGTAATGTATGCTTTACGCATGCATGCGTTGAAAGAAATCTTTAATACAGTAAACAAATAAATATTAAGCTTTTTTTTATTTTTGTAAATTTTGATACCCTTTAGATCACAATTGATCTTTATTTCATAAATTACAGTTTCATATTTTTAATTTTATAATTTCTGCATGCCATCTTACCAGATTTAAACCGATGATCTATAATCCGGAATCGCCGAAGTCCCGACAAGTCCGGATTAAGGACTTTTGACTGTAGTTATATTTTTCTTTGAAATTGGGTTAAAAAGTGAGAATCTCCAAAATTGTAAAGAAAAACTATGTGTTATTTAAATGTAACTCATGTGATTTTATTTGTGCTGTCTGAAGTCTTCATTAATAATATTATGCAGTTTTTACAGTTTGAAAATATTACTTGAAAACTACTTGAAAATACAAATAATGAAACAAAATTTAAGGGAATTAATAAATTTAATAACTTCAGTTGAATATATTAAGAGTATATTAAATGCTTTTATATGTATAAGGGGAAAAAAAAGCATGTTTAATAGTGTTGCTTGCCTATGGGTTCATAACAGATTGAATGCACACAGTTGTGATGATATGTTGATAAAATTAATTTTCTCCAAAGAAACACTTGAGAGCTCTGGAGCTTCCTACAGGAATGCTCGTACAGGTGTTCACAGTATCACATCATATAATCAGTAGTTACACTCCAAACTACGAAGAACGTTAAACAAAATGCAATGCAAAGTGCATCTAGAAGGCAAAGCTTTCAATGCTCCGAAGTTGCTCTAATCTAACAACGACAACTGCTACTGATGGCAGATTTTCTCCGCGGCGTTATATAGGTTTTACCCGGCGGCTAAGATATTTCTAATAACTTTCTGCTTCTCGAAATTATTGGAAGACATATGAGGGCCAGGTGCACTTACAGCTCATATAGTGACCAATTACATTTATTCAATTATAATACTTATTGTGGAGATACAGGGACCAGACCAAAAGGTTGCCACGTTTAGCAACTTTTGGTGATTTCTCACCAAATCTGGCGACAGAAATTAGTCAGCAAAGCAGTCGCCGGTTTGGCTATATTATGCCAATTTAACGAGATAGCTGTTTACTGAAGTTAAATAGAATTGTGGCTGTATTCTTATTTTTCTGACAGAGTATCCTGTCTCTAGATTTGCATGCTACATTAGACATAAATATACATTTCACATATGGTTTTCCTAAAATTATCCATGTATGTACAAAATTCATAACAATAGTTTGAATAAGAAACACATCTTATTAAAAAAAAAGGGATATTTAAAATATAGACAAATGAAAATGTTTTAAAAAAGTGCTAATGAATTTTGTGGATGTTATTTCATAGTTAAACTAGATCTATTTTTAAAACTGTTCATGTACTCACCTTATATAACTTTTTTTGGCCTTTTTTCAAAATGTTTTTGAATTTGTTTAGCCAGAAACTTGCTGCATTCTGTATTTAACATAATATTACTTTCTGAAGTGTCTTTTTACTAAAGGGAAAAGCTAAAGTATCGCAAGAATTTGGAAAATGTTACAAAAAAAGTTCTTAATAATTGTAAGTCAGAATTTTGCAGGTTATTAGAGAAGAAATGAATTTTTTATCAGATTAAGAAGCCCACATGTTATAACTTAATTTAATAGTGAATAATGCTTGTAAGATCTACATAGGCAATCTGACAGTAATTATTATATTAATCTCCTGTGTTTTATTAAATTTAATATTTATTTCTCTGGGATTGGCTTTTATGGTATTTGTTAGGTGTAGAGAGATGTGATGATCTATGCGCAACAGGGTTTTTTTGACTTCTAGAATATGCTTATATTATTTTAAAATTATAATCAGAGATGCTTATGATTTTATGTTTATTTCAGCTGGAAGAAAAGAAAATGAGAAGCTATGCTGTGATACCTCCTATTCTATTAGACAGTCGTCAAAGAAGACTTTGGTATGTTAATAAGAATGGCCTTGTTGAAGATCTTAGTCAAGAATATAAAGAAAAACAATTATTAAATATATGGACTGACGTAGAAAAGGAAATCTTTCGAGAAAAATATCTTCAGCATCCTAAAAACTTTGCTTTCATTGCTTCTTGCTTAGAGAGAAAAGTAAGTCTGTAGTATAGTTGATTGCTTGCATGAATATATTAAAAATTTCAAGTTCAGTTTTTTAAATGTATGTATATATATATACATATTCCATATGTAAATTTTTTACATCCGTTTCAAATGAACGAATTTAATTATGTTGAAAAATATAATTTTCATGACATAAGGCTATTTGACCAGTAACATTTTTAAGGTAAAATGTGAATTTTGTTTTTTGATTGTATGGCTCAATATTTCTTATAACATTCAGAACTTATTTATTGGAAAACTTTTAAGTTTATTAAAATTTTGATTTTTTTTAATGGTAAAGTTATTAACTAGAAAATAGTAAAACAGATTGCATAAAATTGAGATGCCATTTTTATCTGTTATTAATTTTTTATCCACTTGAAAAGAATTATTGGGAATGTTTTAATTAAAAATATGTTGAGGACTTTTTTCCATGTAAGATTCGATTCAGTTGGTTGCCACTGAAATAACCAGCACCCTCTATGCCAACCAAGATCATCACCATCAGTTTTCTACTTTCCTTCAAAAGCAGTGGCTTCCAAATTTAAAATGCCCTTGGACCACTTCTCGCAGCAAAAAATTGGACCTTGAACCCTCAAGTGTGTATGTACATGCATAATAGGATTATAAATTTTGATGTTTTAAATGGTTAATTGGTGATGTAGAAATAAAGTATAAATAAAACATAATACAAAACCAGATATTTTCCTAATGTGATGGATGAACCTGATGAGATGTGAGATTATTTATGTTTTGCTCTAAGTTTGTAACATTCATAAGTCTCCACTTGGTGATGAGGCTCATATCTGAACTAAATCCATGTTGTACTAAATAGGAAATTACAGGAAAGCAGTGGACAGTTTCTCTGCAATGACCTTAATGCAGGATATAAAATTGGTATCTGTTTTTATCCAGAATTTGTGGTATTCTTGCTCAAATTTTGGTTTTAACGGCTCATTTGTGAATAGTTCAGTTAATTTGTCCTGTAATAGTATGGTTTTATGTGACTGTACTTGCAGAAGAGTCCAAAACTTGGTAGGGAATAACCAAATGAAAGTTTTCAAATCTTTGTCTGGGGTCAAACTGAAGAGCCAATTAAGCATGACTATAAGCAAGCAAATTTTTATCTTGTTTTTGCAATTTTGAAGGATTTGGAAACTGAGAGTATTCTCATATCTCTTAAGTTTTGTTTGTATAGGAAAGTTTTTGTAATTAAACACAGATAGTATTATTTAGTTTTGATTAAGTAAAATTGATCACCTTTTAGCAAGAAATGTATTTCACTTAGTTTGGCAGATTAGTCAGTTATGTCATTTTTTGAATTAATTAAACTGAGCAGCAGATCATGACCTTTCATATCATTAACATTGAATCAAAGAACACTTAGATAACCAACAAACATCTGAAGTATCTTTTAGTAAACTTATCAACTAATCTTCATCATTTTCTGAATAGTTTTGATAAGTAATCTCTCATTTTAGGCATCCTTTTGATTTTATTAACTGCTCTAATGACATAAACTAGTGAACCATGTAAGCATACACCGAGATTTTTGGCAGCTAAATGTTGTTGATGAATGTGCAGATAATGCATTGGCATAGCTTGTTTTAAGTGTCACATAAAGCCTCGGTGTCATCCTACCATCGCTGGTGTGCTGTCAGAAGCTGTGGAGGAGATATTAACTTAGGATATAGCTTTTTAATTCATTAAGTATTGTTTCACTTTTTGTACTTGTTTCTGAACATTTCACAATTAACAATTGGGGTTTACCTCACCTTTCTTTTAAAAAGCTCACATAAGCTAAAAGTAGACTCTATTCGTGGCAAAGTTGACTGTTTAAGTAGTATAGAGATACCTGATGTTTCATGTACTCACAGAAAGAATTTTCTGTGCACTAAGTCATTTCGTCAGTCCATCTCTGTGCTGTATTATTACTGAATGGAATTATTTTTAAAATATCAAAACTGATTTATGCGGTATGGTGCGTATTGCTTATTTACAGCAGGTAGAATAACTTCATCAAAGGCATGTGATGTTCCAACTTTGTCAGTTCATGTATGTTCTTGGAATGATTGCATTTTCAATTATTTTCCTTTGAATGTTTTAAAAGAGGTTAATCTCTATCCTTTTTGACACTGTGGACTTTTGTCAAATCTTTAGTAAGCTTTGTTTGATAAATTTTATTGTACACAAGCCACACAGGTAAATTGTTATTTACTGATAAATAATATTAGTAACACAACAACCATTTTGAGATCTTGACTTAATCTATACCAAACTCAAGGTTGTTTTGTTACTAATTTTGTTTTGACTTGATGTGTTTCTTTTCCTCTTTTACTACATCCTGGTAATGGAAATAAAGCCACATTTTAAATAATCATAATTGTGTTGTATGCATTTCTTCTTTGGACTGTTATCTTTTTTTTTTTAAAGCACACACACAATTTGTTCTGTTTTACTCGCTAATTAAAATTACTTCAAGTTTATTTACTGCAATTTTTTGTTTTATTTTACTCATGCATGACATAAATATTGCTTCCACTTTACTTTTTTTTTTTTTAATAATGAGATTTTGTCTAATTAGTTTTGTTACACTAAACCATTTGTGGATTTATTGTCCGCATACTCCCAAATTAATTAAAATTTCCCACAGACCCCCCTCAGCAGTCATAAGCACCATTGGGGGACTGTAGGACTGTAATACTACCTCTCTCTCTCTCTCTCTCTATATATATATATATATATATATTTGTAACAATGAAGAAATTTTTAAGTAAAAGAATGTTATGTGAGTTCTAGTATGAAGCAAAAAAGTTAATTTTTTGATAAACTTTTTAGTTTATAGTATTGAAACTTCTTTCATGTTCTTGGAAGTTTTTTTGTTCTTGGCTTTTGTTAATTTTAAACTTTTGGTGTTGGATGGAAAACAGTTTTTGAATATAGTTTTTTTTTTTTTTGGATTGCTGATTTTTATTATATTTGATTTTTGTTATTTTTTTTTTAAAATTTAGTAAAATTGTATGTTGTAAGTGAATTATCTATGTGTTAAATTTATTTTATTTTATTTTTAGAGTGTAGCAGATGTTTCATGTATTGTAAGTAATTATTTTATTTTATTTTTTTATTTTTTAGAGTAAAGATTGTGTTGATGTATGTTATTTATTATGTGTATTTTTATTTTATTTTTATAGTGTTATTTTTTATTGTGTGTTCAATACTATTATCTTTCTAAAAAAAGTGAAAATTATAAGCAGTTGTTGAGGAAGCACAGTGTTAGGAAAAGAACTAGGGCGCTTGTGAAGCCTCCACAAAGTCAACAACAACCACAGTCATCCCAGGTAAGAATTTATTAGTATTATGGTTTTTTCCCTTTCCCTTTGATAGCAAAGTCTGATAGTGTTTTCTTTGGTTAAAAGAAATGCTAGGATTGAAAGTTGGAAGTATGAAAAATATGTAATAATTAACATTTTCCCTTACAGTGATTGGAAAAATAAATGAGTTTAATTAAATATGAATGTTATTAATATTAAATATGATTTGTAAAAATAGGAATAATTGATTCAGTAGTAGTTTATGGTTCTTTTCTGTTAATGTGTCTCTAATTGTAACTGTATGACAAATGTGCTAGTATGTTTATAGCCCATAATGAATAGCTATTCTATACTATGATGTCTAAGCAAAAACAATCATGCAGTAATTTTGTCTTGTAGATTTTCGGTCACTTTTGTTCATGTACTGGTTTTTGTTTTAGGAAAGAGTATTGTTAAGTTTCTTCTGTAGTTAGATTGTATGTTTTGTAAATGTTCATGCTTTTACGTGATTTTTTTTTTTTTTTTAAATCTCTTGTCATCAGCAGTGTTGTGTTATGTAACAACTATAGTACTTTCTTAGGTAATGATGCTACAAATATTTATTTATCTTTTAATGTAGGTAGAGGATTCTAGCATTTTGAAATTATTTAGAATTTTTAACAGAACAAAAACACAAATATAGAATGTAGATTTTCAGAGTATTTTATTTTAAAAAAGTTGTGGTATTATGTTTATGGGATTAGTAATTAAACATTTCTGAAAATATATAATGACATAGCTAATAATGATATTTGTTTGGGTTCATAATAGATTGAATGCGCACCAAACTGATGATAGCTTGATAAAATTTATTTAACCAAAAGAAACACTTAAAAGTTCTAAAAATTTTTACAAAAATACTTAACTCTTCTCAGTATTACAGAGCACAATTAGCAGTTACACGTCAAACTACTAAGAACATTAAACACAACGCAATGGAAAGTGCATCTAAAGAGTGCAGCTTACGTGGAAATAATCTCAATACTCCAAAGTGGACTCTGAACTGAAAATATGAAAGTTGTTGCTTTCTCCCAGGGTTATATAGTTTTCCTCCGGCTCTCTAGCAAATCTCTAGCACCTTCAATTTCTGAAAATAACTGGAAGGCATATATGGCCTTTATCTATTTTAGCTGTTTATTAATAGCTATCTATTTTATTAAAAATTGTTGTGCTCTTTCACAATTTAAAAATGTGTTTTTTAGGATAACATTTGTTTATCAATCATCTTTCTGTAATATTATTGCATATACTGGCATATGCATAAAATTTTGAGTAAGTGTTTTCATAGTCATCTAATTAGTTGTTTGTTCATTAATTTCAGAGTACTGGTGTTACAACTAGGCAGCAGGAGGATGCTAAAGCATCTGCTCTTTCATCAAACTGCAATACATCTAATTTAGAAAATCCACAGACTTCATCAGATTGCAATGCAGTGAGTGCTGCATCAACTGCTAGCTCAACAGTTAGTACTGTAGGAGTTGTAAGTAATTCTACTTCTGGCACATCTGCTGTGGATGGCTCTTCCACAGTTTTCGACAATTCAGAACGAAGTGCTTCTACTGATACCAAGCATGACAGTGGAAAAATTCCTTTGCCTAATAATATAAGGTTTGTTAATTTTTGGAAAAGTCATATAATAACATGAATTTGTTTTATTTCAATAGACTGTATTCTTAATATGCTGTAAATTTTCAAATAAGTCATAAAATTATCATTTTAGAAATATAATTTTAAAAGTTTAATAAAATGTTATCAGTGATTTATATCTGTATATTTAAAAGTTTTAAGTTATACTAATTTTAAAAGTATGAAAAGTAGTAATCATTTCATCCCCCCAAAGAAATACTGAAATGTACTGGAGGAATGACACCAGTAATTTTAAAATTTTCCCCCGTAAAATTAAAAAAAATCATAGCAGTGTTGAATTGCTTGATGAAATGAAAATGAAAAATTTAATGTTTGGATAATCTGCTTTTAATGTTTTTAATAATCAAATGCTAATTTTTATAACATTATTTATTAATAGGAAAAAGAAAGAAGCTAGCCAGAAAATTGAAGGAAAAGATGATGTTCCAAGTGACAGTGATACTGCCAGTGATCATCATAGTAAGTAGCATGAATTTATGCAATTTAAAAATCTGGTCCACTCATTGATGTTTTTTTAAGTATGATTGTATTTTTTTCCTGTGTGAATGCTAATACTCTAATGATCTTAGTGTTTTTTAAGATTTCATTTTAGAACATTTTGAATTGAATAATTAAACAACTTTTTCAATTAATATTGCTTAAAATTTTATGTGGAGTTTAATAGCATGTTGTATTTAGGATTTTGAAAATCTAGCTAATATTTTGTAGCAACAAAAAGTATATTGAAATATTGTCAACAGAACATAAGGTGAGTTATGTAATCGTGTTTAATGCATTTTCCCCGGTGGCGGGTTACCATTCACCTCCGAGGCGCTGCAGACCATTTTTGCGATTTATTATTTAAATTTTAGCTGTCTATTACTCTTCAAAACATTGTAGTATCGATGGTTATTATTTAAAAATTTATCTGTATCAATATTTACTCTAATTATATATTTTTATTGTTGGTTGCGTCGGCGGTCACCGGTGGCTCTCACGGCGCTGTAGCCAAGTCGAGTGCCGGCCACCGGTGACCCCCACGTCAGTCCACGTGTTAATTAGATGTTCTATCTAAAAAGTAATGTGATATGCCCAGCCACAGAGTGAATTAAACAGGGATGTGTGTAATACACCGCACACCCGGCCGTGATAAAATGTTTGCTGGCAGAGCACATTTGATGTGCCCATCCAAGTGGGTTAAATTAATGTCTGGGCCTTACACAGTAAAGGCTACTGAAATTTGGTTCTACTGAACTGTTTCTATATAATAATAATATAATTTTCTATTGAAAATTTGAAAAATATTAGGTCTAGTTTGTGAACTGTAAATTTAAGTTATTTAGCTTAGAAGTTTTAAATGTTAACTAAAAGAATACTAAAAGAATTAAAAAATTTTTTTCTTCTTCTTTTATAATGTTATACAGTTACATATAAACCTATAATCTTCATAAGAAAGCCATCAATACTAGTTTTCATTATTAATCAAAACTTATTATTCAAGTGTTAATTTTTCTCATTTTCAATACTTTTGTTATGCCACATATTTTAATCTTTCTTGATTTTCGCTCTTAGTAAACTTGTTGTTTTTATTTAAGAGAGGAAGGTGAAGCTAAGTTAAATAAAGATCTGAAGAATTAAAATCCTAAATATTATTAAAATCAACTATTTTATACTATGATGATTGTAAAAAATTATGTAAATGATCATGGAAAGTTAGTTTTCAATAAATGAATGTGTAGCTTTTAAAAATTTCTAATAAACAGTTAAGTTTTGTGTATTAAATATAAATGTTTTATTTTTAATATAGAAACATATCTGTGTTAGAATTTTAATTAAAGGTCTTGGTAATCTGTTTTTGATATTTTCATTTAAATATATTTTTGCATAATTTTTTTAAATACTTGTTTATGGATTTAAATAAAGTATTTTGTTTTGTAGATGAAAATAATCCTTTACAGCCATGTGCTATTTGCAAAATGGAATTGGATAACTATAATCAGTCTAGGCCACTTACTAAATCTAATTGTGGCATGTTTGGTATAAAAGAAAGTGATTTAATTGGAGATATGAGGGTGTGTGCTTCTTGTCGTTTTAAATCTGTTCGTAAAAGGTATGTATTATGTGTTCTAAATTTGCAGAAATTTAAAATGTAACTTTTAAAATTCTTTTATAGAAAGAAAATTTGATCAAGGTTTCTAACATAGTCAGATTTTTTTCAGTGATATTTTCTAATGGAAAATCTTTTCTATTGTTTTCTGTTATGTTAAAATAATTATGCTAATTTGAATTATTATAATCATTTTAATCATACAGTGAATTTTTTTAATGCATTTAAAAAAATCATTTTTATTTTTAAATGGATTTTTAAAAATAAGTAGTCATTGCTTACTAAATATATGAAAAAGAATAAAATTTTCTAATCAGATTTATTCATATTTCTAGTTAGTTACATTTCTGGTATTAATTTGTTTTCATAAAAGTTTTTTTAAATAATTCTGCTCTGACTTGCTGAAATAATTTGTTGTATGTGATTTTGTTAAGAATAAATAAGACAGTGATTTGGGGTGTGCGTGCTTAGCAATTCTGTGTAAAGAAGTCCAATATAATTAATGTTGCAGTTTGTATTGATTGCAATATGCTATGATATTATTTGCTTATGTTTAGTTACTATTTAAATGTAATGTGTGCTATTAGTCCTTTACCTGCTCATGCACTGTTGAATTAAACATATTGTGTAGTTTAACTCTGTAATAATTTTTGTAGCATTAAATTGTTAATATGTTACATTACAGTTAGTATATTGATGTATAATTTTTTTTCCCGAAACTAACAAGAAGATTAATGTTATTTGCAAGAGGAAGATTGATTTACTTTAATATTATAACTAGACTTTTTTCATCCTAATATGTGAGTTTTTTGTTAATATTGTAACTAGACTTTTTTTCATCCTAATATGTGAGTTTTTTGTGTAAAGAATCTGTATAAGATTAATGTGATTCCTCTCCTAAAGAAAATTTAAACTGAATATTCACATTAATTTCTCTTCATTTTATTATTAGTCTGAAGAGTTAAGTTGTATTAATTCTTAGCTTCTTCTTATTGTTATTTAGGTGTCCAATACCAACATGTAAAACCCCAAAACGTAAAGTCAAAAGATTGCGGCCACTTCCTGGAAAATTTGCTGAACTTTCAAAGGAAGCCAAAGATGCAATTATTGCGGAAATTCGTAAGCTTTAATATTTTTATTTTAAAAAAATTATACAACTGAAATTTAATAAAAAATTCTGAAAGCCTTTATATTATGCTTTATATTATGCTCAAAGGGGCTGTAATATTTCATGCATTACCTTTATTAGATACTAGTTCTTCATACCTTAACCACATAAATTTCAACATCAACATCACAAAATATTTAAAAACAGCATATATTCAGAAGTTTTTATAGACAGTCTGGCACACTGGAGATAAAAAATTTTTCCCCCATATAGTGTTGCTATTGCTTGCTTCGAAATCATTCAGTTAATCAAAAATTCGTTAAAAAGTTTACAAAATATGAAATAGATAATAAAACAAATTCAAAATTCGGGCTACCAGGTGCCCATCTTCGGGTGAAGGATTATATTATTCAAAATTTTACATCTTTAGGTACTGTCATTTTTTCACAGTACGAGAAATGTACATTCATTAATTATAATTTAATTTCTTTAAATATGATGCAGGGTGATAATATTTGGTAGCAGTAATTTAAAAAGTGATACACTGTTTATAGTAAACCTACACAAAATGCCATTTTGAGACTAATGCACGTTTGAGCTAAAAAATTCTTTTATCCATTAAGTAGATTTTTTTTGTTAATTATTTTTTGTTATTATATTCCATGTACTGAAGAGAAAAATGTGTTTTAGAAATACCATCAGATGTCAACAAATGCTGCTCAGCATGCTTCAATAGAATCACGAGGAAATTAGAAAACAATGCTGTAACTGAAGGAGGTATGTTGTATAATCCCGTTAAGAATTATTATTATTATTATTATTATTATTATTATTATTTGGCTGCTTTCCTCGTAAAGGTTAATCTTGTATTTAAAAAGTGTTGTTGTAAAATGCATTAAATATATATTTTGTAAGATGACCACTCACCATTTCTGACGATATGGTCTCTGAGCATCAGAGAAGATTTTAGTATTGATTTTTGTTCATGTTTCAAGAAACATTGATCACTTTTAAGGGTAGTTCTTTACAAGATGTGGCCATTTTCAAAACATTTTCGTTCTGTATTTCGGAATTAGTAAAACAAATAAACTATAATAAAAAGATTTGACCTTCTTTATCATATTTTAAATATTATGAACAAGATTAATTAGAGCCTAATTATTTATCAGGTAAGCTCTTCTATTCATAAAGCAATGATAAAAGGTTCAAAGAAAATAACAAAAACTGTTCACCTGTCTATCTGTTACCCTGATCATAAAATATTCTTATTAACATAGCTTTTAGTTTTTTTGAGTTCAATAAGTAGCCAGACTTCATCAATAATGACCAATTCCAGAATACTTTTTTTTTTTTTCCTTTAGTAAATCTAAATTTAACATAAAGTTATAAATAATTATGCTATTGCTTCCCACTGTATTAATGAGTTATGTTCTGAATGAATGTTTGTACTTGAATTCATTTATAAAATGTTACCAGGTTTGCTATGCACATTTGCTAGTGTCCATGACATAAGAGCAGTTAATGCTATCAAATTAGCAATTAAAAATACTAAAACTAATAAACAATACGTTTTAATGTGCTTATATATTATCACAACCATCTTAGTAGAAATTGCCCAACTGTGGTAACTATGTGCATAACAGTTTATTCAATCAATATTCATTGTAAATTGCAATTGGGAAATTCACAGAATCATTTTTTCTTCTCTAAAACATCCCCAAACTGCACCACGGTGGTTGCACTAATATGTAAGTATTCATTTTAAATTATGAATACAATAAATATATAATTACCTATACCACATATTGTTGTCGTAAAAGCATCTGTAGATGGGGTAAAGATGAAACTAGTAGATCTCTACATAGGTAGTGATGAGTCAGCTTGTGACTCTCCTTCTGAAGACTCATCGACAAGAGGAAAGTTTGTTGAGGAGGCTGTGTGAGAGGTGGAAGGAATTGGCATATTGGCTTGGCTAGTAGCACTAATTTCTGAAGTGTCTTTCTTAAGAAAATGTAAGAAGGCTTTCTTTCCTTTCATTGTAAACCAGACAGTTGCAATGTGTGCAACATATGTATAATGCATATACAGTTCATTTTAACAAAACCGGAATTTGATTATTAACTGGAACAGACTTTGCCTTTCTTCTGTTTATTGCTTTTTGAGATGCATCAGGGCTGTTGATTGCTTTGCATCCGCAGTTTGACAATATTCGATTCTCTAGAATCTTCAACGAATGTAATGTTTACTTCCCAGCTGTAGACACCATACCATTAGTTGCATTTAAATATCAAAAAACGTTAAGCACTTGCTTACTAACCACCATGAAATAGATGAGTCAGCAGAATGACATTGTAAGACACCAATTTACAGCAATTACGTAGATTCTCATCACCAGCACATAATTACTGGCAACCTGAATATCATACAAAACCATCAACTAAAAACACTAATGAGTTATGGTAGTAAAATTTAGACCAGTCAGAAACATGACTACAAATTACTGTTACAAGACTTTCGAAAACAACATCAACGAATTTATAGTTAAAGCAAGCTATCAACTGAATTTTCCCATAGATACCTTCTTAAAATGGAAAGCTAAAATTCTTCAACGCATATCCACAGAAATAATCAGTCACCTCAAATTTTGAAAGTACACTAAACTGGTCGCAACTTACATCTGATATTAGTAAAATTAAAAAAAAGCTTTTTACTATTACAAAAATAGATAAAGCAACTAATAACTTTAGCATTATATGAAAACAATTCTACACAGCAGATTATTCATAAAGAACTTTTCAACGCAACTACTTATCAATCAGCCAAACCTTACAGAAACATCTATAATAAACAGGATTAAAACTTTTCATAAAAAACTCAATATTACGCTTTCAAATGCCAACGTTACAACAGATTTAATAACCTCAATGCACTTCCCAAATTCCATAAAACACCATTAAAAATCAGATTTATAGCAAATGGAATTCATGACTACAAGAAAAATGTAGTTTGACAGGCATTGAGAAATATTGAGTAGGTGTTAATAGTGAATGCTTAAAATGCTTATCTGTATTAAAGCTTCATAATTTTTTAAGTTCCTTATGACTTGAAAAAGGGAAAGGTGTAACATCATTATTAGTTGCATGCAACAAAGTAACACATAAAATTTTAACCAAAATAATGTTTTTCTTAATGACTGGTTTTTTGATAGAGATGAGCATGATGAAATAATAAGTAAATTTATTCATTTTTTAAAATTCAGAAGTTGTTTGCTGAATTGCCTGAGATCATATAATTTTTTAATTTAATTATGTTAAAATTATATTGAAATTATAAAATGTATTTTCTTTTTCTTGAAAATTATCATTACTTTTAATGTATCCAGAATTGCAATTTTTTCCTATGTGTTGTTTATATTTTGTATGTATTTTGTTTTCTATTCCATGTAATAATTTACCAATATTATTGCAGATCCAAATGAAAATTCAAGATGGACTGATGAGGAAATGGAAAAAGCTAAGCAAGGTCTTCAGCAGCATGGAACTGATTGGGAAGCTATTGCAAATATAGTTGGAACAAAAAATAAAGAGCAGTGTCGAAATTTTTACTTTAATTATAAGCGGAAATATGGTTTGGAAGAAATTTTGCAAGAATATAAAAAAGTAAATATAATGTTTGTAAAAATAATTTACATGATGAATTCATAAAAATGTTTTAGTGCTTTTTTTTAATCACTGTACAGTGCTTATTTATTCACTGTTATGTTAGTTTATAAACAAGTAAAGAATATTGGTTATGGATAAGAAATAAAATGTTTTGGAGAAACAAGTAACAAAATGTAAAATATCAAATATTGAAATATTGTGCTAATAATGTAAATATTGCTAACGAATATTGTATATATGTAATTAACTAGTGAAATTATGCATTTTGGGGGGAGGGTGCGCGTCTGTGTGCATTTGTAAGTAATGTGGCTTGAAATGCTTGGAAGAGACGATGCTGTGCTGGAAAATGAGATTACAGGGGGGCAAGTCTATTTAACATTGAGTAAATGGCTATCTTGTTAAATTGGCGACGGTTTTGATGAGTAATTTTTGTTACCAAATTTGGGGAGAAATCAGCAAAAGTTGCAGGACTTGGCATCATTTTGTCCAGTCCCTCTATAACTGTAATTGATACTGTGATTGATCCTTAAGTATATGTAAATCTGACCATATTCAGCCCTCATATGCCTTCCAGTGATTATCAAAAGTAGGAGGTACTAGAGATTTCTCGGCAGTTGGGGGTAAAACTATACAAGACCTCGGAGAGCATAAGATTTCTGTTGTTAGTTCAGAGCAGCTTTGGAGTATTGAGATATCCATGGGAGCTTCGCCTTTTAGATGCATGGTACATTGCATTGTGTGTAATGTACTTAATAGTTTGGAGTGTAACTTGTGATACTGAGAATTGCTATACTAGTGAATTTGTTGAAAGTTCCTGAACTGTTTCTTTTGGTAAAAATAAATTTTATTAAGTACCGTAATTTCCGGAAGAAATGCCTCTGCGTTTACGTGTTTAAAACTTAAATTTTCAGCGGGTGCGGCGTTTCTACCCATGCGGCGTTTAGGTGCACTAAAAATAAAATATTTCTTATGATGTCTTGTGCACGTTTAAATGACCTTGTCATTGTACATAGTTTGGATGGCCTTGTCATTGTGCATAGACTTGGTGCTATTCCCACAAAAGTGCAATTTTCTGTATTTGGAGAATAGTTATTCAGTTGATTCAGAAGCAATCATTCCGCAAACTTTCTCCAAGGAATGGAAATGCAGCTTTTCCAGGATATCAAGATACATCTCAACATTAATAATTTTGACTGCAAGAATTAAGAAAGCGTGAACTACCAGAAACATTTCAAACAATGTTTGCGTCTGTTACTAAACTTGACTAGCCAATTATTTAAAAGGAAGTAGTCCCTACATCTACCAAACTACAAAACTGCTTTCTGTGAACTTCATTTTGTTTACATTCTTTCCCTTGAATGGACCTACAATGCCTTATTCACTCCACCCTAAACAAGGATCTCAGAACAATAACATTCTTCCCCTTTCAAATCAAATCAACATTCTCATCAGTTTGAATAGTCTCTCTTCTCTGCTATTCGATGAATCTTCCAGGACCCATTCCTCTCCCCACCCCCATGCCTTTTCCATTGTAAATCTACTGCAATTTTTTTCAAAGGCGGACACGACTCCACCTGCCTCGCGAATAATGAACTCTGACCTATTTCCTCCTTCAGCAGCATGAATGGATTTTTCTTGGCATTCTACCAAATACAGATCCCATCAGTTTGGGTACAAGTACTTGTTGGATAGTTTTTAAGTAAGAAGGGAGTGGAAATTTTTTGAAAATGTCTCTAAACGGCACAGAAGCTATTCATTTCTTACCTTTAATTTATTTTTGAGTTATGGTTTCATTTCATGCATTTTTCTTAACTGGTATGTCATATATCAGGACTTAGGTTGAGTTTTTGCATCTATACGGCCCACGACGATTTAATCTATTGCAGCGTTTACGCTGATGCGGCGTTTCTGTGTAAATTTAATTTTTTTCCCGCCATTTTTCTCGAGTGCGGCGTTTACGCTGATGCAGCTTTTCTTCCGGAAATTACGGTAAATAAATTTTATCTAATATATCAAACCAAATCTAATATCAAAATCAATCTAATATCTAATATCAAAATAAATTTTATCTATCATTCTTTTTGTGTGCATTCAATCTATTACAAACCCATATGTGCACAACAGTATCTGAACTGATTTGGTTGTATCATTATTTAAAATGAGTCGCATTCTCTCTTGATGATTCTGAGTTTTAAATATGGAAACAGTCTGTTTGACATACTGAGATGGCCATAAATAAGTATTTATTGTAATTTTAACTGGTACCTAGAGAAGGGATTTTTCATTTGGAGTTAAATATAAGGCATACAGAAATGGATGTTGGGTTGATATTACCAGATTTTATATTTCAAATAGTCCCCCCCCTCTAAAAAATAACAGAAGCTTTTCAGAGAAAGAGCTTTAATTTCAGAAGTGGTTATTATAGCTATTGATATAAAAATTATGTGTATAAAGTATTTCATGTATTTAACCTGTTTATTTATAATTTTTTATTTTAATAGTTAAGATTTATTTCTTTATTTCTGAAGTAGTACTATCTGTTTAAATGTGTCAAATATAATCACATGCATTGAATTTGTTTCTTTTTGTGTAGACAAAAGGTGACAAGGAAAGTAATCAGAAAGATGGCAAACCACCACCAATTGTTACGGATGAAGAGGAAAGTGGGGAAACCACTTCCAGTTGCGATGAAGATGATCGTGCTGATCGATGTAGCAGTGATACAGCTAGTGCTCCTAGTCCTGTAGATAAAATTTTATCTGAAGGTATAGTTAATGATTTTTTTCTCTTAGAATACTATTTATGTAATGAAAAATATTGTATATTTAATTGAAATATTTACCTTCCTATAAGTGTGTGAGTTATTTTTTTAGATGGAGCTTTTTGTGTTATATATATATATATATATATATATATATATATATATATTCTAACATAGAAAAGTGCATCTATCACAGTATATTTATTACATTTGTCTTTTGTTCATCACAGCATCTTTCTTTTATAGAAAATATATATTACAAAATCTATCAATTTAATTCAGTCTGTGTTATAGGGATCAAAAGAGTAAAGCATGTCTGTTATTGATAATTTTCTTAGTGAATTCAGATCAAGTTGAGCAGTTATTGTTTATAAATATACTTTTTTTTTTTTTTTTACCAGACTGTAGCATAGACCTTTGATTGCTCTTCATTTTGTTAAAGTGGTTTCATTTCAAATTTTTGTTATTTAAAAAGCGACTATGTGTCAGATGCTTAAGTGTTATTTTGATATCAAAAATAAATATGGGTCAAGTATTAAATGTTATTAGTAAGTATTATTTGGATTTTGCATTTCTATACCCTCAAATAATTGTTTAATGTATCCTCCTTAATTAAAAAAAAATTCATTTCTTTGAGGTAAAAAACTGGTCAACTAACTCAAAAAGTTCAGTTGTACTCAAAAAGTTCTTCATACCATCTTGGCATTCATTTGTTCTTCATCCTGAAGAGTATTTTTACTGTTTGATGCAAGAGCTAGTAAAGAGAGACAGTTGTTATTGTGTCAAATAATTTTTTATCAAATGTGTTATTCATTCTATTATGTACTGTATTTTCTTGTACTCTGACTTACAGTAATGTCAGACAGCAGTGTAAGTTCAACTCATGTGTTTTTTCATCTAATTTATTTTTTCTAGATTACGTAGTAAAATATTTTCAGTAATAATAAATCAGAAGTATGAAAATATGATGATAAAATTGCATCAAATATAGACGACATAGGCAGCTCTGTAGTGTATTGATTTCCAAAGCGCACTTGCTAAGTTATTGTCACAAGGCAAAATTAAATAAAAGTATATTTTACCATGAATCCTTTGTATTTTAAATTTATGGGCTATGCCAAATTGATTGCCTAGGATGCCAAAATCCTGGAGCTGAGTCTGTGTGATGTTAAAAAAATAGGTTATGAAATTTCAAATATGAAATTAAGCATAGGAAAAAAAGCAAAGGGTTAGGAAACAATATTCTAGTTCATAAAAGTGCATACATAATTTCATATCCAATTTTAGCAGTACTGCGTTGCTTAAGTATTTATGCCATATAGTTCATGGTTCTTGTACATCCTTCATTCTGCCTCTTTTTTCAGTACTTGTTTCGGCAATAGTGCTAAATAAATGTATAGAATTTTTTTAAATTGGAGCCAGAAGCTTCTTGTTTAGAAGGGGGGGGGAAATGTAAGATAAGTAAAGTATTAATAGAAACCATGTATTTCCATCACACATTTTGAACAGGAAGAAATATTATCATGGAAACTGTGGATATTTTTTAAATATTGAAATATAGAATTGAAAATTAGAATATCTTTCTAGTATGTCAATTTATTGGAATCTGATGCTCATAGAAGCTGGTCACAAGAATATCTGAACATAATAGCAGTAATACATTTGCTTCATTTTGTTTAATTTTGTTGTTTTGTCGGTGATTCATGTATTAGTGACATTTTTTTAAGCATATGTAAGCATCCATAAAGGCATTTGTTTTGAGGTCTCTTTGATTCATTTTCCCCGAAGCAGTTTTCAATTACTTTTGCAGGGAAAGACTTTCATACTGCAAACTGAATGTAAACTAGACTTTTTTGGGAGGGGGTGTATTGTTGTTGTTTGTCTCCTAATTATTCATGGACACAAATAAAATAGCAGCATAAAAATCATTCTGATTAAAATTTGTAATAGCAAATTTATTATTTAGAAGTATAATATGGTGAACTATTTTATTATTTTGGCTTTTGACCGTATACGTATTGCTGTATTTAAAAAAAAAAAAAAAAAAAAAATACGGAAAGTGTTTGTAGGTCAGTTCTGAGTGAAATGTAAAAAGCATATTTCATACTAGGAAATATCCATCAGAATATATGCACTTCCTTTAGTACTTCTTACTTTCTTAAAAGCATTAGTTCAAATACCTCTTTTAGTATCTGTATGGACTTGCTGCTTTATTATTTTAAATAGCTTTTCTTGTTTTAAAATTTTAAGTTGGTAAGAGAAAACAATGGAGTCAAAGAGTAAAAAATCTGGAGTGATTAGGGCATAGCAGAGACCTGTTTCTTTCTGATTAAAGAAATCCAAAATTACTTGCTCGGAAAGCAAGTCAAGTACAAAAATTTTGTTTGCACTAGAAATCAAACTGCATTTTTGTGGTTGATGTTAGTTAATATATTGCTGCTGTAGAGTGTACACTAATGTCCTTTAGCAGCCAGATTCAGTTATTGCTAGTTTTGTGCACGTCATAAATTTTTTTAGCAGATCTGTTTTAGTTTGTATATTAATCACAAAACAGTGTTGCTTTAAAGTTGATGTACAAAAAAATTAATCTTTCTTAAGGAAAAAATAAGTTAACACTCTCATATATATATATATATAAAAAAAAAAATCTGATGTGTACACCACATGACTTCCTTGTACGGAATATTAAATTATACGCATTTTTCCTTGCATTTTATTTAAACTTATTAGATTGAATTAAACCTATTTCACCAACAGTGCATAAACAGTGCATAAACCACAATAGAATTTAAAGACAAAAATAAAAATATTTATTTTATATTTGTCTTTAAAATTCACTTTGTTTACCATAGTGACACTCTGGCGCTATGTTTACTTAACAGTATTATATTTCATTCATATTATAACTCAGAATGCACAAAATGTATATCATTTAAAGAATTATCTAAGCGTTGCCACATGTTCTATTCAAATACTATAATAAAGCTAGAACTATGTGTAAAAGAAGTTAAGTAAACAAAACAAAAAGAAACATTTTTTTCACAGAGGATTGAGTATTTCTCATTTAATTAATTCAGTTCTCACTTCGCAAGAAGGCAAAAATACATAAAAACTCAAAATATCTATATTTAAAATTACGAAGTAAATCTCAAACGCTTATTTCCTTGAAAAAATTTCAGAAAGAATTAAGCATGATTTAATTGGCAATAATAAATGAATGCCTTATCTTTGTTGTTGCGAAGCTAACTTTCTCTAGATTGGCAACAAATCCACTAGTCTCCTGTTTCAAATGTAAACATCAATGGCCGCCATTAAAAACCGGCTTAGCGGCAATTAAACAACTTTAAAATTGCTGATAATTCTAAAAATATTGCACACAGATTTACTAAAGGCATAAAATCCTTAACTGGAAGATAAAAACAACATAATTCAATCATTTTTAAAGCAAAAAATGTACAATTTACAATCATATAAGAGTAAAGAAACTGAGATCACTGAGCCGGGTAATAGAGTAGATATATTTATAAATATATTTATATACGTTTGGTGCGGCCGATTGCAACCAAAATACAAGGTGCACATCTACATGTTATAGCAGTCCTACATACAAAATTTCAACGTTTTGAGGCTACTCATTTTTGAGTTATGCGAGATACGTACATACGCACATACATTCGTACGGACGCCACGAAAAATTCTCTTTAAAATTAATTTTAAAGCAGTTTTATAATTTTTTTGAAGGAAAAGAGTATTTTATTCTGTCCTTACGTACAGATATCACGCAAAAACATCGTTAAATTACATTCAATAGCGGTCAAAATGGATATTTTCGCTGAAATATGCTGCCTGAAACTTTTCGCGATTACAATACTTCCTTTTTACCTCGTACAAGGAAGTAAAAATGCATTAATTTTTATTTTCAATCTTGTAAGAATTCGTGTTATTGTTAAATTATGATATAAACAAAATCTCTGTATGTTTAAAAGCAGTAACTATGCCTCTCCTTATTTGTTAGTAAATATAAATTCTTCAAGAACATTTTCAAATGTCATGCATCCACGTTACTGTGAGTGCCTTTTAGTTTTCTGATTTAGAAGATTATTTTTCAAGATGAGCTAGCATATGTTAAGATTGAGGGAAAGAAGAGAGTCATAGACACTTAGCATATGAATCATTCTTGCAACTGATGACTAACAAATTATTCACATGAAGGGTTGTCTTATTATTTTGCTCCAATTGTTATGTAATACTGTAAGAGTTTTAGTTTTGTTCCATAATAATAATGTTATATTTGCTATGTGCATGTTTACTAGATTACCTTTTGGTAGGCTTTTATCAATCTCCACCCCTCAGTTGGAAGAGAGCATTGGACAAATTTTTAAATGCACATGTTGGAGCAGGAAAATAATTTAACTACTTCGAGTTTATAATAAGATTTTGCTTTAGTTAAAATAAAGTAGAATTTTTTTGAAAAACATTCTTTCAAAGAAATAGTGAAAATTTTTTGTATAAGAGTCTGCAATAAATTTCTTGTATATTAAATAAATATATTGTTTCTTATACTCTGTGTTTAAAAATTTCAGATAAAAATGATAGTCAGAGGCCTCCCGAAATACTTGCTGAATCTAACCAACCTAATGTTTCAGAAGAATCTCGAGTTCGCAGCATACCACATCTTGATACTAGTCCTAAGTGTCTTCCAGATTATGATAGTAGTGCTACTGTTAGTGCTGATGAAGGACAAAATCAAATTGATGGTGAAGGACGAGATTCTTCTCCTCGTGTTGTTCATCAAGTAAATCATAGTGCTTTGAAAACACCAATTGGAAATGAACCTCCTCGAAAGGCTTTTCAAAGTCCCTTACCTTTATCCAAAGATGATACCAGGCCACCGGATACTTCCATACCTCTTGTTAAGACCTTACTTCAAGATCCTAAAATCGGAGCTGCTCAGCCAGAGTGTATACCACCATACATTCAACCTAGTAAACCTGGAAAAGATGAACCTACTTGTGTGAGAGATTTGATATATCAGGCTATTGAAATGAGCCTGCAGTATCCTAGAATAGGTAGGAACAGTAGTCCTGTTCCTTCCTCTGTTCCAACTGGTTTATGTAAAGATACAGCTGAAGTAACAGTAGTTGAACCTAAAAAAGAAATTGATGGCTCCAGTACACCCATTCCACCCACTGCACACAGTGGATCTCGGCAACCTTCTCGACCTGGCTCTCATCATATGGATGTGCCTGTTGATTGTGAAGTTCAAGATCTTAGCAAGAAAGTAAAATCTAGAGATGTAAGTCCAGTAAAAGATTTCATTAAAAGAGAACGTGTTGTAACACCTGTGAGACCACCATCAGGATCTAGTAACTCTTCTTCCCATGTAGTTTATTATGGTGCTCCTCCTCCTGCTCATTGCAACCAGTATCGAACTTCTCAACCACCACCTCCAGCTTTATCACCTCATTATGTTGCAGAATCTCACCATGAAACTTATTTTCCAAGAAGTAATGATCCTAGAGGAAAAACATACATTCCTTCTGAAAGACCACACTCTCAGCCACCTCATCTAGTTGCACAATCATCTTCTCATAATAATTCTCCATCTGCACCATCGCATGCAAAACCAGTACCTATTAAAGCAACAGTTCCTCCACCCCCACCATTAGTAGCATCAAAACCTTCACAGATGTCTCCTAAAATGCCTTTTAAAGAAAGGCTCAGTACATTGCCACCCACTGGGTCAATAACTCAAGGCACACCTGTTAATCAACAGTCTATTCCTGTACCTCCTACTAATCTCTCATCTGCACGGTATGAAGGTTTTCTTCGTCAGTTACCTCCTCCACAGTCTAAAGATGGTGGATCTATTACTTTGGGGACCCCTGTGCAACAAGATTCAGTAAAGCGTATTCCTAGCAATAGACCTGAGCCTTTTGCTCAAAATATATCAGATGGTTTAGTCAGACAAGCAGTTCCTGCAATGTATGATCCTACGGTTATAGATTATTACAGACAAGTAACACCTAGTGCACAGCCATATACATTTGGCCCTGGATATGCACCTTATCCAAGTACTAACGTTCCTCCCCAACGTCCACCATATGCTAATGAATCACAGCTTAGTTCTAAACAAATAATGATAGATTTTAATACATCTAAACAGATGCAGTTAAGAAGAGGAGGAAATGGCCCATCTGAAAAAGAAATTAAGGTATCTCCCAGAGGTGCTGATTCTAGCCCTGCTCCTATAACACCTCAAGAAGGTCATCTTCATCCTATGTATCCTCCTTCTAATTACCAAGAAAGAGGTGGCTCGCATTACAATAATCATGTACCATCTGGGTATCAACCTATAGATTCTCGATATGTTCATCATCGTTCTCCTAGTTCTCAGATTGATCGAACACGTAGTCCTTCTGGAGCAGAATCACCTTTGAATGCTGCATATGCCCCGCATTCAGGAAAACGTAGCCCTAGTTTACCATCTGGTCGACAAAATGTTATACATCGTAGCATAACATGGGGCACAGGCAAGCCATCTGTGATACAAGCACCCCAGTCTGCATCTCCGCGTATAACTGATATGCGAAGTGAAACTGTTAGTCCTGCTAATGTGAGGAAATCAACTCCATCACCTCGATCCGCAGCCGTTGATGTACCCTGCAGTCCCACCATCTGGACATGATGCATTTAACACATTAGTGAATGCAGCAGTTGCACAGAAAAGCTTGGTTGTACCAAAAGATGGGAAAGGGTCACCAACAGCAAATATACATACAAGGCATGAAGTAAAGTCTCCTAGGGATAGACCTGTTGTTGAAGGATTAGAAAAAACATTAATTGATATGCATCAGCGTCCTAGGTCATATACTGAAGCTGGACATAATCTAGTTTCACATGAAAGGAGGAACAGTGAATCGAGCCCTTCAGAACAGCAACCACAAATGCTTAGTGACAATCATCGTTATTCTGGTTCAGTACATAGTACATATGACTTGTCACGAGAGCATCATAGATTAACAGAAAAACAACAGATATTAATAAATGACCAGCCATCTAGTTTACGTCTTGGAAATATGAGAGAACCATTTTCAAGAGAGCAGTTTGAACGTCAAATGAGACAAACAAGTATGTCAGTTCCAAGAGATCGTGCATATTCAAAGAAAGATGACGAGCGGAATAGATCTGCTGTGTCTGAAAATCAGGCTCAGAACTATGCTCCTCTTTCTCAACAGTCGGATTTAGACAATGAAGCTTCCAAGATATTTTCTCAGTCTTTTCAGAAAGATGCTCCAAGATCAAATTCATCCCCTCGAGGCTTAACAGCAGCAAATTTGATTGATGCTATTATAACTCGGCAAATTAACCAAAATGTAGAGCCATCGGCTGTGACTAAGAATTCTGGGATGGATTTATTTAACCAATACCATGCTAGTTATGAAGAAAATAAAGTACCTCCTAAGTCTAGTAGCACAAAAGCATCTAGGACTGAAGTTGTGACTATTGATGATGAACCTGAAAATGATAAAACTCCCTCTTCATGGCCAGAGAGATCAAATACTCATGGACGTTCTACACCAGTCCAGGGCTCTATGCCTGGTATTCCTGTAGCATATACAGGAGAAAAGGTATATACTCTAAGTGAACATATAGCTGCAATTATCTCTAAAGATTATAATAGTCCTTCAGATGTAACACAGTCTCAGCCACTTTTCAGTAATGGTCAATCATCAGTCAATACTTCTGTGTCTGCTGCCTCATCTAGAGCTTCACCATATGCTTTAGGAATGACGACTGCAGGTACAAATGGGAAGCCTTTAGAAGGAATAGCTGCTTCTTTGCCTTCTGAAGCAGTTCTCATAAACTCTAATGTGTCTCATGGCATTCCTGATCACAGTCCCCAGAATTGTCCGGGAAATGGCTGTTCTTATCATACACATAGTTGGAAATTAAGAAGAGCATTACAGCAAGACAGAGATAGAGAACATAGATCACCAGTAAATGAAACAACTCATAAGAGGCCATCGTCTAATCAAAGCTCTGATGCAGTTGTATCACAAGAAGAACGACAGATTATTAGAGTTGCTCAAACCTCCTCTCCTAGTGCACAAGGATCAACTCGATCCTCCCCTACAGGTCCATATGCCGTTGAGCCAATATCCCCACCTAGTCAGGTAAATGAAAATATTGAAGGAGGTAATAGAATTCCTTCTTCTGTCCATAATGCCAGTGGCCTAGCTCATAATCAGCCACCAGTATGGGCAAGTAATCCAAGTATAACTGGACTCCTTACTACTCGGCATCTTTATTCTCAAGAATACCAAGAGGGTATTCCTCCTCCATCCATTACTCATTATACTGTACCACCCTCATCAGGTTCTAGTCCAGTTATAGGGTCTAGTAGGCCACCCCATCAACAACAGATGGGCTTATCTCCATTAGACTATGTGAAAAATCGAATTGTGGAAGTAATGAGAACTGCAACAGATGATGAATCGGAAAGTACAGAATCTCGTCGTCCACAGTCTGCAATGAGCCATTCTGAAGACAGAGATCCTCAGCTTCAACATATGTATCGTTTTCAACCTGGTTCCGAACGAGATATTCCATCAGAACGGCCGTGCAGTACAGGGAATGGTCCACCTTTACTTCAAGGGCAGAGGTATAGTCCTGCTGTAACACGTTATAGCCCTGTACCACCAAGGCCATCTAGTGCTGTCGAAAGGGTGCCTAGTAGGAATTCAACTCCAGGAGATCTGTCACGACAACATAAAAGGGGATCTGAAGGTCACCTTGTGTCAGGTGATTGGAGAGAGGGGCAAAATATTTCTTCAAGAGCTAGTTCTCGTTCAGTATCTCCTAATAGTGTGGATCACCCAGATAGTTCAAATCGTAAAAAAACTCGTTCAGAAGGTACTTTTATTCCAGAAAGCACAACAGACAGAGCTCCTGTTTTATTGCCCCAAAACTCTATTAACATTCATCGTTCAGGTTCCCTTTCTGAAGCGCCACGGCTCAGCTCAAGCAATCAAAGCGCTCAGGTACTAGATTGTCAAAGTGCTTCCAAAGGCATTATGTCTCCTCGAACTGAGCCATACCTTCAGTCTTCGCAAACAGAAAGTGACTGTTATAAATTCCGTGTAGGTGATAGGTCAGACAACCAGTGGAACATGGTAAATAGCCATGGTCGAACTACAGATAGTGAGCCGCCAGGTCGGCTAAGTGAACCTATGAACATTGGTGCTGCTTCTTCAACTACCATAGAAACATTTTCATCAAATCGTGGTGATGTTCCATCAAAAAACTTGGAGCGTAGTGATTCAGGATCTAGACATAGTCCTGTGACTAGTACAGGTGGAGGATCACAGGAACCAAACAGGAACAGTCCCAGTGCATCATCTCAGGGTCAGAGAAGTGCTTCATCAACTCCACTTGGTGTAAGTGCTCCAACAAGCTCAGGTCACTATTCTTCATTTGGAACACCGAATGGTAGTGTAAGCAGCAGTACTGGTACCATGTTTTCCTCTGCGACATCACTACCTCCACCTGCCAGTCCTCATGTTGCTTATTCATCTTTTTCTGGCATGGGTAATACATATGCTTATCCATACTCAGCATTATCAATGCGTTCTTTAGCAGCATCCACAACTCATAGCTCTACTCCTGTAACAAACAGTTCTTCATCTGTAAGCAGCTCCCGAATTTCTCCCATGCCAGTAAGTAATTCTTCAAGAAATTCTCCCTCACCTCTTTCAAGGAGCAACCAGGCTCCACCTTTATTATCTTCTAAGTATGAACCTTTATCTGATGAAGATTGAAATGAGAATACCCCAAATAAACATATGGACAACTTTGGCTATTTCAGCTCCTGCTTTTTATTCAGCCATCTGCATTCCAAAAGATTTAGTGTTCTAAATGTGGTATGTGAACATGGCTCTAGAAGCCATTGGAAGAGTTATTTTCAACTCTTGTGAAAAATATTCTTACAGTTGCAATCTGTGGTTTTGCTCATAATGACCACTGTTTTCTTTATTTTCTCCCTTCCCCTCTGTGATCACCTCACTGCAAGATTACTGGTTCAAAATTTATAATCTTCATAGTCTCTTTGTTTATCAACACTGCCAGTTCTTCAGCAGGGGCGGATTTGAGAGTTAAATATATTATTTGAAGAGGAGATATTTATATAGTTACTGTATAATTTTGTAATATATAAATCTTATATCTGAGATCTTACACTTATTCAATATTTCAACCATTTTGGTGGTTTCAGTTTATTTTCTCATGTAACAGGAATTATTTTAGCAATCTGTAGTTTAAAAAAAAAAAAAAAAAAAAAAAAAAAAAAAAAGTGAGACTAAAAAAAATCTTTTTTTTATATGAGGATAGAAAAGTTCCTGTAACTTTCAGCATTTCTAGTCGCAAGAATTTCAGTTAGTATGTTATGACAGCAGTTGACTGATTATGTAACTGGTTGTAACTAACACAAAAATTTAGCCAGTTGTGAAAGACCGCCCCTGTTCCTCAGCTCAATGTGAACTCGGGCATCTCACTCTACTCAACAGCCGGTGTTCAGTGCCTTGGTCTGCTGCAGGGTACTCCATCTCATCCTAACAGACATTGTACTCTTTACTGTTCTCTAACATATATAATGACCTGTGAATTTTCCTTTTTTTTGTTTTATTTTGCCAGCATGTGAGTCCGTCTTCTCTGTAGCAGTGGCATGCTGGCATGTCCAAAAACTTGAATTTGCAAAAGAATCTTTCTCTGGCTGATTTATTGTGTAAAAATATGTATTATGTATGTTATATGTGGCACACTAGCACTTAAAAAATGTGGCATTGATTGAAAGATATTGTAAATAGTTTTAAAGTGTGTAAATAGCAGATAACTCAGTTTTGTGAATTTGAGCTGTATATCGTAATTTCGGGTGACTCTGACACCATGTTCATATGTCAGTATTTCTGAAGCAATAGTATTCTTCTTCTTCTCTCTCTCTCTCTCTCTTTTTTTTTTTTTTTTTAAGGGAAAGAAATCCCAGATCATGATTTACCTCAAAAACTTTGCCCGGTGTTAAATAAGTTTTCATGTTTTTAATTTTTAATAAAGTTTTATATTTACTATGCAAATTAGAGTCATATTGGAAATTGGTAGCTGGCAGTGAATATGTAATTTAACAAATGAATGAAAGTTTTATGATAACAAATGAGTGAAAGTCTTTATAATATGTAAATATGTGATGGTAAATATTGCATGGGTATCCAGCAGTTTTTATATTTGTAAATAGTGTATTATGTGTATATATTTCTCTGTTGTAATGTGCAATATAATTTGAATATACTATTTGCAAAACTCTCAAATTAAAGTCGTAACATTCCATTTTCTGTTTTAAAAACTTGTATTCCTAATTAGTTTTTAGTATCTTGCATTTTTAATCAATTTTTATTTTTATTTATCAAATGTTTGATTCATTTTTAGGTTTAATAAAAAAAATAGGAAAAAAAATTGTTACACTCCAGAATTTGTCATTGTGACACTTGTTGAATAGTTTGTAAGCTATTCTCAGTTTTAATGAGCATAATATATTCAACAGGTCATTCACATCTGGAAATCTTTCCTTTCTGCCAATTTTAACTAAAACCTGTGTATGGTTATTTTAACATAAACTGAAAATTCTTAGTTACAAACATCATCATTAAAATTTTTGCTGGTGTGCCACTACTGTAAGATCCTGTAAATAATTTTAGAGGTGTATGGGAAGATGTTTTGAAATTTGGCTGGGCATATATTTGGAAAGTTCACACACAAAATAAAATCTTTTCATTTCTGCCATTGGTTGCCACTGCCCATACTAGAATTTCAATAATAATTGCTGCATAAATGTGATTTAGTTTTTTCTTATCAGCAGTCAGCATTCACATTGAATGTCATGATTTGAACGTATCTGGTTTTGGGGTGATGACTATGTAAATTATTTCTTTATTTGACAAAGTGAAATCCATATTTGGAATGTATAAGTTGTATATAGTATTGCAGGTTTCTTGAAAATAACTGCATTTTCACGTGGTAAAGACTATTTCTTCACACACATTCAAGAAATAAAAAATGAGATAAAGTGTATCATATCAGTGTTGAATGTTTGTACCTAAGCTGGCTGTAGTATTCAGAAACCTGTTACTTTTGTTGGCAAATTAAAAACAAAATCTTGTTGAAACAAATTTTGTCTGTTTTCCATTATTTTGTTACACATATTCCACGAGACATTAAACATCCACAAAACATCATCATGTAACAATTTTAGTAAATCAAGGGTTTGAAAAATACATTTACCTTTAATACAGTACAAAGTCTTAAATCCGGACTCGTCGGGACTTCGGTAATTCCGGATTAGGGGTTTTTTCCGAATTATAGATCATCAATTTAAATCTGGTGAAATTATAAAATTAAAAATATGAAACCGTAATTTGTGAAATAAAGAGCAATTATGATCTAAAAGATTTAAAAATTTAATAAAAAAAAAAGCTTAATATTTATTTGTTTACTTTATTAATCGCTTGCGCTACGATTAAACTACACGGTTACGGTGCCGTGCGCTACAATATAACAAGCGGTAAAGTGTCTCATTTATGCCGCTTCGCATCTGCAAGTGCAATCCAGGGCTGTAACTCGAGACATAAACAATCTTGTTGTTAGGCGACATGTGCACCACGTTATTTTTATTTTTGTGCGCGGTTTGAGACAAAAGCATCTCGACGTGCATGGCACATCTTTTTAGTGCAAGTGGTTCAACATTTCTTTCAATGCGCGCATGCGTAAAGCGTACATTACGCATAGTTGAAATTAGAAAACTGCAACCAGAAAACTATTTGATGCATATTCGTGATACTTACAAAGACGAGGAATTTGATTTAAATCATATCAAAGACGGAGTACATCGAGATGAAATGCTACATTTAGTAAGGAATTATAAGCCGAATAAAATAAAAACATCTGCCCTGAATATGCTTCAGTATACCAAGCTTAAGAATATTTAGACAGTATTATGTTTCTTTCCACTGAATACCTTTGATAATCTCCTTAGTTGTTTTCATTTTTAATTCTGTCATGATCTGAATAATAATTTTTTTTATCAGAAACTAATAAAAATATTTACATGAACATATTTCAGCAGTTTTTGTAACTAATTCCATTTCTTCTAGTAGCAGCCTAAGGAAAAATTGATGACTTTCCAATCCCATAAATTTTCTGGAAGAAAACATGTTAGTAAAAAACATTGAAACAACATAGTTCTATGAGTTTTTGATTTAAGAATTAAACACTTTAAAGATATTGCCTTTTGTGTTTTAGTGCAAAATGATGTCATAAATAAAGTGTTGCGTGTAAACGGGTTAATAATAGATTGAACGCCAAGAAAACTGATGATAGCTTGCTAAAATTTATTTTACAAAAAGGATCCCTTTACAGTTCTGGAACGACTGATTGGACAAATACAGTCAAAAGTCGTTAATCCGGACTCTTCGGGACTTCGGCGATTCCGGATTATAGATCATCAGTTTAAATCTGGTAAGATGGCATGCAGAAAGTATAAAATTAAAATGTGAAACCGTAATTTATGAAATAAAGAACAATTATGATCTAAAGGGTATCAAAATTTATAAAAAGGAAAAAGCTTAATATTTATTTGTTTACTTTATTAAACATTTCTTTCAATGTAAGTTGCTTCGTTTCATGTGATAATACTTTCTCTTTAATTCTATAAACAGACATAATTTCTTGTTCAGTTACAAAGTTCTGCTGTTCAAGTCCTATAATTGCTGTATCGAGAATACCGACTAATTTGTCAATCGAAATTTTTTTTGTTTTCAATAACCTCTGTGTCACTTTCTTCACTATCGGAAGCGAATTATAATGACGTGGAATTTGAGTTAAATCATATCAAAGACGGAGTACATCGAGATGAAATACTACATTTAGTAAGGAATTATAAGCCAAATAAAATAAAAACATCTGTCCTGAAGATAAGGATAGTGCTGACAGATCAACTTCCAATTCATTGCTCGCCGCGGCGTTCCCCCAACCCGCAGAGCAGCGTGAAATTGATAAACAGATTTCGGAATGGTTAGAGAAACAAAGGATATGCCTTTATCCATTTTTTGCAGCAATTCAACTTTTTGTTTAATGGACTTCGAAACATACTTTCGCTTTGTAGATCCTTTACATATTAGTAAATATATATCGGAAATTCTATTTGACGTAATCAAAAGTTCAAGCTTACTTTTATAAAATTGCTCTAACGGTCTGCAAAAATTAATAAGCCGGATCCAATTTGAAGATTAAGGAACATCGCAATCTGCAACATTAACTGAATTAGATAATTTTAGCTTAGCTTATACCGTCCGTTATATATTAAACGCGCATGCGTAAACGTATTTTGCGCATGCGCACACGCATATTCGCAGCCGTAAAGGTCTTACGCGCATGTGTAAACGCCTATGCTCATGCGTCAACGCGACGCAGAATGTTTGTAGCTTTGAGGTCCGGATTATGGGTGTCTCAATTAACGACTTTTGAATGTACTCGTACAGCTCTTCTCGGTTATCACAGAGCACAATCAGTAGTTATCTTCCAAATACCTAAGAATATTAAACACATGTAGTGCAAAGCGCATTTAAAAGGCGAAGCTATCACGGGTATTTTAATACTTTGTATTCAGCTCTGAACTAACAGAACTAACAACCGAGAGCAGATGCTCTCTCTGGTCTTATATAGTTTTAACCAGGCAACGTAGACAGATGTCTTGTTTTGTACTCGCTAAGTCTTTCTGCCCGATGGACGAAAAATGAAGCATAGGTGCGAAGGAGAGGTGTATAGAAAGAGGGACAATTTCGTATTTGAGGAGAGTAAAAAGGAACTTCGTTCATTTTGTACGAGTTCGAAAGACCAGGAAAAAGAGATGGGACAAAATAAAATTTAAAATAAATGGGTAAAAAATAATAGGGGGGGGGAATAAAGGGCCTATAGGAAGAAAAGGAAAAGAAGTAGAAAATATCCTAAAGTACGATTGTGTCCATGAGTGTAGTTAAAAGGAGTTCATTTGCAAAAATTAGTGTCTTTAAGAAGCAAACTTAGCTAAGTTAAAAAAATAAATAAATAAATTCCTGCATGGTAATGTGTATGCCCTTATCTTGAGACCTATCTAGAAAAGACATATATCATCACAGAGATGTACATAATATTTTAACTAAAGTGACATTAACTATTACCGTTTCCAAAAAATTCATGTATATTTCAGAAAAACAGTAATTGATAAAATCATAAATCCATACACAGTGTGAGAGCATTTCAGCAAAAATAAATGATACAGTTTATTTTTCTTAAATATTAGTTAAATATAAAATTAATTTATTAATTTAACCGTTGTAATTTATTATAGTACAAGTTTAGAAAATTCCGTCACACTGTATTTATATTTGCTCATAATTCTAAGTTTGAGACCTGAAAAAAAGTCGGGGATCTTAGTTACAAAAATCACAATCTATACTCATCGATGGTCAAGAAATTCCTAAGCACGAAAAGGGGGGCCTCCGAAGGGTGTGAATTGCTGATAAAAACGGACTACTGATAAGGAAAGTGGCGTCTCTACGGAATAGTTACGAAGAAAAGAACCACATGACTTGCTACTATTACTAACTATTGTATAATGCTGGAATCTTATGAAAATAATAAATAAAGAAATTTAATGGCACTTTAGTGATAGAGAATAAGGTATTGTATAGAGAACAGAATGTTACTTATCTGAATATTCCGTGTCAGGGTTTCTTTTGGATTTCTCGTGTTGATAGTGAACAGCGAACAAGATATTTGAAGTTTCGAAGAAGCGAAGTTTCCTTTTTCAATTTGATTAATGAGACATTGCATAGGAAAGGTGCATTAAACTTTGTTAGAGAGTTGAAAACATTTACTGAAAAACTTATTTAAAAATTTCGGAGCTATGTTTAGACACTGCCTCCAGCTTTCGTGATCGCAGCGCCAGCCACCTTCGACAGACAGACAGACAAAGTAGACAGATGTCTTTTGTTGCATCCGCTAAGTCTTTCTGCACCGATGGGCGAAAAATCAAGCATAGGTGCGAAGGAAAGGTATATAGAAAGAAGGCAATTTCGTATTTCAGAGGAAAGTAAAGAGGAACTTCGTATATTTTATACGAGTTCGAAAGGCCAGGAAGAAAAGATGGGACAAAATAAAGTAAAAAATAAATGGCCCAAAAGTAATGGAGAGGAAAAAAAAAATTTTTCTTATTTATAATTAAAAAAAAAAAAGGGCCTATAGAAAGAAAAGGAAAGGAAGTAAGAGAATTTTGTTAAAAAAAAAAAAAAAAAAAAAAAAAAAAAAAAACATTAAAACTAAGTAACATCATCTATTGCGGTTTCCAACATATTTATATACTCAGAAAACACCATCAGATAAAATCATAAATCCAAAACAAGGCGAGAACATATCAGCAAAAATAAATAAGTAAATAAATTACGGAGTTTTTATTTATTTTTTTTATTTTAATATTAATTAATTTTTAAAAAAATAAGCATTTTATTTATTTATTAAGTTAATGGTCATAATTTATTATATGTGTACTATTTTATCAATTTGAGGCACACTGTATTAATATATGCTTTTAATTTAAATAGCTAGGAAATATAGATTAAAGGAGCAAAAACTACAACTCTATACATTCATTGAGGCCCGAGATCGTGTTTCTCCCTCTCGAGAAATTCCTCAAAGGGGCCTCAATGGGTAGTGCTAACACTACTGATAAGGATAGCGTCCCTACGAGATGGTAACCAAAAAAGAACCACATGATTTAAAGTAATTACTAAGTATTTAATGCCAGAACATAATAAAATGAGCATAATAATAATAATGATCATAATAAATAAATGAATTTAAAGGTACTTTAGTGACAGATATTTGATTTAGCTTAGAGAAAAGAAGTTCTACTTATCTGAACGCTCCGTCTTAGTGCTGCAAAAGATTGCAAGGAAGACAAGACCCCCAGGTACAGGAGAACTCCCGGCCTTGAGAACGAGACAATGCAGAGGATATTCGCGAAAATTTTCTTAAATAAATGAAGATTTTCTGGAAAACACCTTTCGAAAATTCAGGAGCTCTTCCAAGATCCTGCCTTCATCGTACGTGATCACAGCGTCCTCCAGCCACCTTC